AGTGCCATAATCCATGGCTTATAAATAATATTATGGTTATTTAATTTTATTAGTTTTCACACTTTTACTTTCTTAAAGTGTTTTTGTATTTTCAAAAAAAAATGAAAAGTGCATCTTGTGAAAATTATGGGAGGAGCTTTTTAAACTGAAAATATTTCATTCAGCATTATCATTATAATAATTGATTTTTATTGATCTCTGACTTTTAACAAAGTGACTTTTCACCAATAAAAAACCAAACAAGCACTCAATGATTACATGAATGTTGTTGGAGCGACTTAATCATTTTACCTTGGTGACTAATGAAATTTAATATTTGTTATCGGGTTGGGTTTATTAATTACTCGTCGGTATACCCAACTCGCATGTGGCACTATAGGTGTGTTAATATCATTACTATGTTAATTATTTCAGAAAATGGCCAATTACTGATGCAAACATCTAGTTAATGGGCAATTTATAAATACTTTCGTAAATGCTCTTTAGGTTTGAAGACTTGTATGCCTTGGTTCTAGTAAGATACCCAACCGTCTAAACTTTTTATTATAAAAAAACTTCAATCAATTTATAATTAAATTTTTGTTTTAAACATTATCTTCTTTGGAGATAGGCATTGAATATGCGAAGTTTAGTTTGATCTTCTGTTCTTTTTCCATTCCTTGTAATTCTTTTCTGAGTCTCATGCATTATATAAAGAAATAATCCACTATTCAGGACTAACAAAAAGTGTGGTTCTTAATAGTTTCGTAGCATATATTAATTAATGTCCATTAATTATGATGAGATCAACGCCCAACACTATACACACACGCACATGTATGTTGCCCTTCAAAATGCCAAATGTGATTACCGCTGCTAGTCAAATAGCTTAGCTTATTACAGCGATGATCAATGATTCATATGCTAAGCAGCCATTAATTCTAGTTGTGATTACTGATTACATATGTGAATAATAATAATATAACTCAATACTTATTTAATTATATGTACATATATGATATATTGATAGAGATATCAATATTATTGTCAGTTACAAAAGTTTGTTCCACCGGATTTATATTTATTCTTTGGGAAAAATTAAATTAATGGCTCATTCATAAATTAAACTATTATTTTATGACAAAGTTAGATACATAAAGAGCAAATAATAGTCTACTAACTTCATAGTGTATCATAGAGTGTACAATATCGGTGATCAAAAGTATAGTTTGATTCAGTTTGATCAAAATATAAACCAAATCAAACCAAACTAAACCTATCAGTTTGCACAAAGAATGATACTTGATCAGTTTTTTATTAAGGTTGTTTTAGTTTGGTTCTTGGGCGATTTGGTTTAGTTTGGTTTATATATGAATCAAATTTCAATATGTTTTGACTCTTTTTTTTTCTTTCCATATTTCAAAATCAAGTTACAACTTTATTATTTATGAATGAAAATCAATATCAAATTGAAAATGAAAATATTTAAATTTTGTTATTAATAAACATTAGAGTATATGCATTGTAAATAATATTAACATGACTTAAATTTCATTACAAATTATCTTAATGTCTATAGTAAAAAAAAACTTATTTTAAATTAATAAAAGGGAAATGTGTTTCAGTAGCAAGTCACGAAATATTTGACTTTTCTCAGTTAGCAACGACAATATACCTCTTCTTAGTCTAGACCATCTTTTAAGTAGGATTAGGGATTCTATTAAAGTAAAATAGTCTTGGGCTGAACTTTGGTTGAAATTAAAATTTAAAAATAATAAACACTAATACTAATCTAACATTACTTATGAAAAATCCACTTAAAAATATAGAAAGGCATGGTTCAGGTTTGGTTAAGGTTTAAAAAAAAAAATCAAAATTTAAACCAAACCATTCAGTATTTTAATTTATAAAGCCAAATCAAACCTTACTAATGATTGGTTTTGATTGGATTGGTTTGTTTTGATAGGTTTTGCTCACCTTAGTGTATAGAGAAAAGGTTACTTTAATGTAATTATTATAGTTAAGAATAATGAAATTATCAATTTCTCAAGTTTGCTTTAATTTTTAATTATCAAGTTGATCCCTAAAATTTAATCTTTATAAATCAAATTCCTAAAGTTTCATAATAAATTATATGCAATATAATTATACATCACATCTGCATCAAGGATTATATGTCTGCAACCAAAAGTCTAAAAAAAAAAATCTTTAAAGAATCAAGCATTCCATTCACGCTTCTTTTTATAATTCACCTTGCATCTTTTCAAAACCATGAAGACTGTCTATGATTTTGAAAATTTAAGAATTGGACTGGGGATGAAGATTAAACTTAAAGTACTAAATGGTTAATTGATGTGAACAACTTGAAGACCAAAAATTTTACTATGGTTAATAGCGAACTGAAACACATATTACGGTAGGAAATTTAGTCGAAGAAATACTGGTAACAAGAAATCGTAGTATCAATTGGGTGACATAATATTGACCTCACAACAAAAGTATGAAAGATCCCTGAGCCTGGAGCAATACAGAAATCAAGATGGTATGCTTGGAAGAACGTAGGAGGCAAGAACAGGGAATCCAACGCTCTGATGGCCCTTGTAGATCCCAGTCTGATTCGTAGTATCTTCAATGTTCTGCAAACCAACGTTGGAAGAAATGTTGTACTGGTACTGCGGTGCCGTTACAAAAATGTTGGTATTATTAATGTTGACTACTTGAGGTTGCGCTACTGGTGTAACCAGGTTGTTAGTGTAGCCTCCTCCATTCATTACAGCAGCCATTGTTGAACTCTCTTTCTTCGCAAACAAAAGCAAAATCCTCTGTTTTACTTTTGGGCTATGGGCTGATCTATTAAGCTGCCTCTTATTATAGTGGTGGAAAAGAAGAATATACGAAATGGGCATGCATGATTAATTCCTGAACTCAAATTAAACAAAGCGACGAATAATATTAATGAATGGTCTATGTATGATATTGCTTAGCAAGAGAGGTATCAAATGCTTGAAGCTTAGAAATAGCCATAAAAGTATAGTTCTTCCAATCTTTCGTGGTTCCTTTGAATAGGCTTTAGAGATATTATTTGTTCTTTTTCACAAAAAGAAAAGATATTGATTCGTTTGGCACTTCTCCTTTTGATATATGAGACGAATGGAACCAAGTTAAAATTATGTTAAAAGACTAAAACTCTCAAAACTTGTACTAACTTGAGTTTGTTGCCGGTTAACATAATCTTTAAGTCAATATAATTGTAGCATCATATGTATGTTAGTTATTAAGCCCAACTTTACTTTCGCTAATTATTTTCACACTCCCTAACAAGTAGTGTCAAAGCCGGTTTCACTCAAGAGATGAAAACTCATTATTGTGCACATATTTGAGACCTAAATATAGTACTAGCCCTTGTTCCAGCAAGGATTTGGGCGTGGCACACTGTTGAAGCCTTAAAACCAAGCTGGCCCTAAGTCAGAAATTGGTATTTGGAGCGCTTTAATATGAAAAGCTTGTAGACTTATATTTGAGGAAGAGATTGTTAGGTTGTTCAAGTATGAGTAGACTAAAGACAATGTAAAAAGTCCTATATTGGATAAAGTTAAGCTTAATAACTAATATATAATAAGGAAAATGATTCAAAAACTTAACTTAAGATTTTGAATTAAAATGTGGCATCCTTCCACTGCTCTTGCTCGTCTCTTCTCTTTCCCCATTCCTGGGAATTCGATCCCCATTCCTACTAGTTGTTTTTATTTATAAGTTACTTTCAACACATTTTACCAAAACCAAAAAAAAAAAATCTTAAACCTCATTAATTTTATCTTAAAATTCAACAAGTTTTTATATTTATACCTAATAAATATTCTTAAATTTTATTACTCATCTTTTTATTCAAAACATTTAGTAAAGGCATAAATGTAAAAAGGAGCATTGAAAATATATATGTCCTCTATAAATAAGATCAAATTTTCTCTCTCTCTCTGACCTATAAATAAGATCAAAGGAATATATAAATTAGTTCTGGGTGAAAGTGGAACACTAGTTTTTGTGCTGCACTTAAATTCCAAATTCACTCGGAAAGAATTCGATTCCATTCTCTAATTTTTCAATTTCAATCCCAATTTGAAGCAATTACAATTGAGGAGAAAGCAGAACATTAAAGGCCTGTTTGGTTCCTGTTTTTTTTTTTAAATCTGTCTTGCAATATAGTTTTTAAAGTTGTTTTTCAAAATAATGAAAATAAAAATCTGTTTGATTGTGCTAATTTAAAAATAATTTAAAAATTTTTAAATTGACTGATTGTGATAATCACCAACAGTTAATAGTGGTGGTTTATGATAATTATTGATTAATGTAATTGTAGTTTTCAATAAACAAATGCAATGTATTTTGAAAACAAAATAAAATAAAATAAAATAAATATAAATTTAATATGTAATTGTTTTAAAAAAAATAATTTTGAAAATAAGTATATTCAAAACACTTATCTGGACAAGCTTTTTAATATTTTGTTTTTAAAAACAAAAAATTGTAGACCCTGATTCTCAATTTCTTTAGTTTTTTTTTTCGTGCACGTTTTCCTTTTTATCAATTTCTTTCATGCCAAGAGATAGTAGCAGTTTTTTATTTTTTAAATATTTGTAATCTTATTAAATTAAAAGATGTGAAAAAAGTTGAAAGAATGAGAAAAGTTACAAAAAAAATTGATGAAGATAAAATTAGTCATGATTTTTAATAATAGTATAATATATGAATGTTGATTATTAATGTAATTAAGTGTCATTTTCTGTATCATAGCTTATGTTTATAACTTGCTTTTACAAATCGTCGGTTCCTCTTAACATATAGACACAAATAAAATGTATTGACAATTGGCATCACTGAGGATCACAAGACTAGAATAAACCAAATATGCCCAGGAGACGCATAAATTATTATTTAGGACATAGTATGCTTAATTAGAACATCTTCAGCTGCGTTGATAATTATAGGTTCCACATACGTACGTTACAAGCGATGCTTAATCATCACTGAATGTTACCGGAAGCGGTGAAGCCGCCCTGAATCTTAGCTCCGGTACCGTGACCCTTGAAGGTTCCAGTCTGAACGGTGTCGCCTTGAATGGTTTCGGTGCCGGAATTATGGTAATGATTAGAGGCAGGAGGAGCAGGAGGCATTCCCGCTCCAGAAAAACCATAACCGGAATAAGGATTGTAATGAGGTTGCATCTGAGGTTGAAACTGAGGCTGCATTTGTGGTTGAAATTGAGGTTGCATCATCTGAGGTTGAAACTGAGGTTGCATCTGAGGTTGAAATTGAGGTTGCACCTGAGGTTGAGCACCGAAGCCCCCAGTCATACTTGGATATCCTGCAAAAGCCATTGGTGTATTATATTATATGTATCCTAGTTCTGGACCCAAAGTGATCTTGAGATTGTTTTGGCTTCTGTACTTCTGTGTTGGGTGATAAGCAGAACTAGAAGCCTGGTTTTATAGCTGCAGGGTGTTCGTTTTCCTGCAGAAGAAGACAAGCTAAGTGATAACCATCAGCAAGCTTTTGCTCGTTGGTCCATTAAAATGGTATCATGTGCTGAGACAAGTGGGGATTTATTAATATGTCACAGTTCAAGGAATCGATGCAAAGGCTCATATTATTAGCCTTGGAATTTTTGCTTTGCTGATCAGATGTAAAGATTTTAGATAAAATGAAAATGTTACAGAGAGTCTTGGGATTTTGATATGGTAGATAATGTAACATTTTTTTTATATGACTATTTTACTGAGTCAAATTCAAGTATTATTAGGCCAAATTATTGGGGATTGCTCCAAAGATGTTTTTTGCATTCATACAAACTCAAAATTGGGCAAGATTAAATGGCCATAGCCTCTTCCATAATGTAGTATTTTTCATTTCTTATTCTATGTGATGCATATCACTGTAATGGGTACTAAAACTAAATCTATGTTGCATACATAAGACAAATTTTATATTAACACAACCAAATTTTAATTTTCAATGCCAGGGAGGGGGAACAATGATGATTCTTCATATACATCTCTAACTACTTGCCTAGACTGCCAAAGAAAAGTGATGTATATGCATATAATTCATTAATTTGCATGAAATTAAACCAAGTAAATTGTATTTTGTTTTCGGGTTACTATTAGAGTATATACCAAGTGCCCATTATCAAGCCCAGTCAGGTCTATACGGTCATTTAGTTGAGTCTATCAATTGTAACAAGATCAATTGCTACTCACTCCCAAAAATATAAACATTTTTTCTTAGTTAATCTGGATTCAAAATAAAAGCAATCTAGAAGTAAATTTTTCTTTTTCATTTTACCCTTTGTGTTTATTAACCTAAACCCTTATATAAAGTTATCTCTAACTCATATGTTAGTAATTAGGATTAAGAGTATAAAAAGAAAACAACATATATTTTTATGACAATAAGAACTTTCTTGGCGTATGACTTTTAACTGCTTATATTTTCAACTAAAAGGAGTGAAATAGAATAGTTATAAAGTATTTTACTCCATTGAGTCTAAAATATAAGTATTTTTTTTCAACTAATTTAAGTTTAAAATATAAACAATATAATATAGTACATGTGAACTTTTTTCTCCCATTTTACTCTTTGTATTTATGAACCTAAATATTTGTGTAAAGTTATCCCCCACTCAACATGAAATTCATTAATAACACTACTACAAAATATTCTTTTTACATTACCTTTTAACATCGGTTATTAAAAAAACTGTAATAAAAAAAGGCAATGGTGAAACTATAATTATGTGCAATAGTTTTTACATGTAAAAACTACAATCTATGTCGATTATTAAAAAACCAATGTGGATTGTCAAAGTTTTTCTTAATTTTTTTTCATATATTTCCAAAAACGATGTGGAAACTTGAAATCACATTAGTTTTTATAAAAATTAACATAGTTTCATCACGTTTTCAATAGTTCTTCCTTCAATTTCAGCTTTTTTTTTTTCCTTTGATGCTCTCCCTCCCATACCTAAAACTGAAAAAGCTTCCTCCTTGGCCATCGTCGAGGTTCATCGCTCAGTCTACCGGCATCACTGTCGAGTCACCATTCTAGGTCTTGTTGCCATCACTTTTTCACCATCTTTGCGCTTTTTTGCGTGGTGCTGTTGTCCTTTCGCATTCCACCTTCTAAATGCCATTTTTGTTCTCTTATTCTTTCTTCTTCTATCGTTGACTTCTTTAGTACTTCTTCAATTGTGAGTGTTTTCTTCTTCATTCTTTCTTCTTGGTGCCGTTATCCGTTCCCATTTTGCCTTTAAAGTAACTTTTCTTTTCTTTTTCAAATTTTTCTTTAATTTCTATACTTTAGAGTAGTTAGTAGTTGTAGATATGAAAATTTTATTTTTATTCTCACTTAACATTAGTCGTGTATGGCTATTCGATTTAATTATTTGTGTTTCTTTCTTTTAAATTGTTATATGTTTAGAACTTTTTTAAGATTATATTACTTACTGTAAATTTTTTTTCTAATATTTATATAATTTACTCATGGCTTGGGGGTTGGATTTGAATTTAATTGTTGTTGAGATTTAAGTTGAATTCAATTATTGTTGAAATTTATTTGTTTAAGTTCTAGATGTATAAAAAAAGAAATAATTTTTTAAAAAAATTAAATTTTTAACAATGGTTATATAGAAAATTAATATTAAAAAACTTTTAACTTCAATTTTTTAAAAATAACCATTATAAAAAGTGAGCTTTTCATGTTGATTGATTTAATAACCAACGTGAAAAGTTGAATTTTCACTTTACTTTTTTTTACTTCTCTCTAATAGCTAATGTAAAAAGTTAAAAATAATTATTGTTAAAAATCCTTTTCACAACAGTGTAAGTGGGACTATGGGTAAAGAGGGGAAACAATTTATATTTTTATGAAAATGTGGATTTTATTTTTATGCAGATTTTTCTTAAAAGACTGCTTATATTTTGGAAGTACTCTTTTTAGTCCAAAATATAAACATTTTTCCTTAACTAATTTTGATTCAAAATATAAACAACCTAGTACATGTTAAAAATATTTTTCTCATTTTATCTTTGTACTTATTAATCTAGATCTTTGTGTAAATATATTTCTCACTCGTTATGAAGTGCATTGATAATAAGAAAGAGGGGTAAAAAAAGAAAACAATATAAATTTTTATGAGAATAAGAATTTTATTGGTATGCGAAATTTTTTTAAAAACTGTTTTATATTTTTAAACAGAAATACGTGAGTGATGTACATAGCTAATGAGGAATGAATCAGATTGCATTTCAAATCTTTATTCTTATGCTTCTCTGTTAACCCACTTCATTGCAATAACAAAGATATTATGATAACTTGAAATCAAAAGATTATGGAAATTTTTCTCTGTTGCATTTTTGTAATCTAGTGTGAATGTCATTCCTGTCCCAGTCCACCGTTGCATCCAACGACTGATTGATCCACCGTACGTTGCATCTTCAAAGTAACTGCTTTTAACTAACGTAACAGCTTCTTCAAAGTTTAATTTAGAGTTCGTATCTGTTCTGGTGAGAGATGATTTATAAAGTCCTTCCTCCTGAGGAAATAAACTCTTATCTTTCCTACATAACTGAAATGATGCATTGTAACTAAAAGTAAAAATACTCAATAAAACATTCATAGAGACAAAAAAGTCATTAAATTTAATTATTTAAACACGAACTACAATCGAGGTAACATCGATGCATGATCGCTTATATATATATATCCATCAGCACGCAGCTCTCTGCATATTTCTGGAATCTTGTCTACCTAACGATGAAGGAGCCATAGACGGTGGCTCCATTGCCGTGGCCCTTCACTATTCCGACCTGAGTGGTAAGGCCACTGATATATTGAGTACCAGAATTCTGATAAAGGTCGTAACGTTGATTGGGTGCTGCAATAACAGTGTTTGGATAATTATAACTATAGGGTTGGGATTGCACTTGATGAGCCGCTGCACTCAAATACTCTGAATCCACGGGACGATCAAGACCTGCCATGTTGTGGTGCAGCTTTGCTTGGTATTATCGATCGGGTAATTGAAAAGCACGTTCCTTGTATAGAAGAACGAGGAGGTTGAATTCTTTTAAAGGATTGAAGTGTGAATTTTACACAGTCATGGCATCTGCTATGCTTGTTCTCGGCTTGGATGCTTGCTTATCCTTGTTAAGAATTTGGTATCTGGTTCTATATATGAGGACCAGAGAGCAAAACTTGTCCTCTCAAGTAAGTGGGGCTGGTACATCAGAACCGTAGAATCTGAAAAGTTGATTAACAGTTGAATACATGGAATGGAATCCATGAATGAAGCAAAAATGATCTTTGGCCTTTTTTTCCTTATAATCCAGTAATGTTCATGTAAGCGGCCTCTTATTCTGTTGTCATGTCAAATTGGGAAGCTGTCAAATTTCACTGTGACAGCAAGATGAGGAACAATTCAAACAGAACTACGGAAAAGCATCCCAAAAAGTGGAAGTGGGGCGGTTGAATAATATAAAATTTAAATCCAGAAATCTCAGCTTGCTGTTGCAGAAAAAGATGTGGCTGCTGGGATTCGAGCCCAGGTCTCCACGGCCACAACGTGGAATTCTTACCACTAAACTACAGCCACTCGTTTGTATACAAGCTAGTATGAAATTTTTATTATAGTTTAGAATAATCATGGAAGTATGCAAACAACAAAAAAAAAAATTAATGCTATAAGTTTCAAATAAAATATTTATTTATAAGTAAGTCTCATAAATCTATTAGAATACTCTTATGCCTCTTAAGGCATGGTTATAATTAATTTTCCTTGTAAGATGCATAAATATCACTAGATTTGTTTTCATGTTATAAATGGTAAGAGTTATTAATCAACTATCAACAATTGTTGATTTGACTTGCAGAAAGTAATTGAAAATTATTCATCATATAATATTGACTAGTTAAAAAAAATACTTTTATTGGAGTATAAAACACCTTTGATATTTATTAGTATTATCATAGCAAGAGTAAATTTTCAATATTTACAAACCAAATTTCTTTAATTTAAAAGTCAACTTCTTAAATATATCAATACTTGAAAAAAAAACACAGAAAAGGTTGACTTGTAGATTAAAAAGCTACTCACTCTAATCCATTCTTATATATTAGTCAACTTCTATAATAAATTGACAGTTTTATATATTAGTTACTCTCCATAAAAACACGAAACTATTCTTAACTTTTTCTAAAAATCACCCTTGGAACATGAGACAAGTTATGTTGGTGAGCTAGTTGCTGATCACAAAAGGGAAATTAAATAATGAAGGTGTATAAAGATGAATACAACTATAAGGGCAACGGAGTGGGGGTGAAGAAATGTATGTGAACTCCTAGTTTTCTAACGATATCGCATCCAATTTTCGAGCAAAGTAGGAGGTCAATGAAGTCAACAAATGCAATAATCCTCAGACAATTAATAACTTAAATGACAAGAAATAGAATGAAAAATTAAAACTGGTGTGATGTTAATAAAGAAATTAAGAATTCATATTACAGCAGCATAGCGATACTCTACTGTCACTTCACAATGAGTCTAGGAAGCAAAAGATAGCGCCTAAACTCAAGAGGGAGGAGATAAAGATCGAAAGCAGAGGACAAGAATCATGAAAAAAAAAAGAGAGAGAGAAGATCTTTAGTGAGCAAAAGTCCACATATATAACTCGCGCCTCATGCCCACCTTATACTCATCTTTGTGCCCACGCTTCCTTTCTGTGATAGGCATTTGACCAACTAACATAACTTGCCTTATGGTCCAAGCCCAGATTGAGCTCAGGCCCGTTCATTTCATGTGGTCAGTTTATACAAATCCATCAAACAACCTGTGTGATATAGGTTCAATCAATATCCTAGTTACTTGGATATTTACTGAATCCATTTCAATGGACCTCGGAGAAGTTAACTGGAGTCTTCCAGCCGTTAAACTCTGCGCACGTAACTGACATGAAAATTAAAGCAAAGCAGGCGGGCATACATTGCAACACGATTCAAACACACGAAACTGTATCCAACACACGATGAAGTTTAATAGCATCTCAACACCTGTTTCCTTCAAGTAATATCACACCCAAAACCCAAATAATTGAAACAATCAATCAGATTATCAGAAGGTGAACTTCAATCATGTGAAATCAGGTTAACCAGATAGCTAAAATCAACCGAAACAAGCATTTTAATCAATTCAGATACGTTGTGCTCAAAGGAATTTCCAGACAGAAACAAAGTAAAGCGGGGTTCCCTTCCACCCACAGAGCAAAGTGCTTCCATTCTTGTCAAACGTGCAGAAACTCCCACCTGCAAATCTCTTGGCCACCAGCTCCGCCTGGTACAACGACGACATGCTCAGTTCTTCCTCCACCATCCCAAACCTCCCAAAGAAAGCCCTCCACACATCGATCTTCACGTTCCTGATCTTCCTCTTCTCTCCTTCCGCCGCCACAATATCCCTAATCCCAAATCTTACGTACAATGACTCCAACACCGTCCTGTTCGTATCGTCCCCTTTCATGGATGAATCCACACAATCGAAGAATGCGCTGAAGTAGAACAGCGCTTCTGTAAATCGCTTCACGAATGACTTCGAGTTGTGGTTCGCTTCCACCTCCGTTACCACCATCACGATTGGGTTCAAATTTCTCATCGCCTTCATCAGGGCTTCTAACTGATCTGGCTGTGCGAGCAGGGGCCTTAGTGTGAACATGGAGTAAACTGCGACCGTTTCCTCGTCGTCTAGCTCGAACAGTTCTTTCTTGAGCTCATGCATGTCGGATACCATTACTATATTAAACGAGAAGCGTATGTTCATGGACTCTGCAAAACTGGTTAATCTCTTACCCGTATCGTCGAGTGTTTTTCTCGCCGTCGTTCCCATTGCTGTTATTTTTAAGAGCTCGAGCGGGCATTCTCGTCGAGATGCAAGGTCTTGCATAAGGATTGTCCATTGCAGTCCCGTTCTAATTCCAAGATCGATTATGTGAATCTTTTTTGAATCGCTTAATTTTTCTACAATCGCTTGGATTCCAGCAAACTTCAATATCTGACAGAAAGGAAGCTGTGCATGGCATGCAATCATAGCAGGGCCGGGGTTCAGCATTGACTCGTCTGGATCGAAAAGTGAGAATTCCTTCTCCACATATTTATGATAATGGCGAGGGATTTCTCCCGCCGGAGAAAATGAAGGAGCGTATGTTCTTCCTGTTTGTCTGTATATCCTTTCGAGAAGAGCCTCGGAGAAGTACGAGACGACCGGGGTTCCCGGTCTTGGAAGACTGTGATTCGCAGTGATGAAGAAGCTTGGCTGCTCGTTCGAATTGCCCCAACCCGACTTTCTCGGCAGAAGCAAGAAGAGATTCTGCGAGCTTCACGTCCTCTTTCTCTTCTTTGGAAAGGCTAGAGTAGTAGCAATCATAAGGATGAAAACTTAAAGAATCCAGACCTTCTGATTGATCTGAAGAAGATGATCGGATGAACCTTGTTCCGGCGATTCTCATGACATCCTCAGTTGAGAGCTTCCTTCCTCTCAAATCATCAGTAGGCTGAAGCTGGCGATCATCTTCAGGTTCAGTTTCGCTGTATAAACGCTTTAATCCAGTACCATAGTTGTTGAGAAGATCAAGTGTAGCAAAAGGGAAGGATGAATTCTGGTTCTGGTAATTCTCGTCAGGTCGAGAGGGAACAGTCATGGCTGGGATTTGATCATCAAACTTGTGGGCGTCAACGATCGGTGAGGAGACGACCATGTCGAATTGGAGATTATCCAATGACCCATAATCCAGATACGATAATTGCTCCTTCCGTTGGTTCGAAAGCGATGAAAGGCCATCTTCTTGAGTTTGAATAGTCATGATCGGGATAGAGCAGAGGGAATCCAGGCCACCTGACTCTCCCCAATCTTCTGCTTCAGAAATCTCAACGTCCTTCGGTGCTTTATCTTCATCACGATGATGCTGATCCAATGGATCTGATGATGAGTTCCAGAAATCGTTGTTGGATGAACTATATTTGTCCTCAACCACAGATTCAAAATCGAACTCACTGAACGGATACAATTCTGCCATTTCTGGGCTCTCTTAGTTCTCTGTTCCAAAACTGTTTGAAGAGTTCTATATGGGAAATCCAAGTAAGACGACAAGTCTGAAAATTACTTTCTTATCTTTCTTCTTTTTGAATTAAACCATATACTTTAAATCATAGCTTCAAGACAAGTTTCCGATTATCCTAAGAAAAATTTGACTAATTTTTACGTACATTTGTCGAGAGGGATAATGAGGATGTTAATGGGACGATACGATCGACGTGGCCTGCACCCTGGTTCTGTAGAGAGAGCCAATTATTTTGGGAAATTAGCAGGCAAAGTATCTTACAGAAGTACTTTTCTTTTTGGATTTTATAACTTAAATAATAAATCCCTCATACTAATGTAGATTTTAAAACTAAGTGCCAAAAACAGTCTAAGACCACGTACATTAAAATAGCAGAAAGTTATTGTTTTCATTGTGACGCATTTGTTTATAATATTGATGCAAGTTGCCAACTCTCTTCGATAATCCACTAAGTAAAAGATGCTCCCGTTCCAAAACGGCAGAACACCGATATTCTGCTTTTAGATTATCAACTCAGTGTTGATAATCCACTTAATTTGCTATTTCCATTAAAGATCTTCTTCATAGTCTTCCTGAATCTTAACTCTAACTTTTTACCCATTATAATTTAAACGCAAATGAATTAGTGCGAATTAACTTGTGTGTTCAAGCTACTAGTTGACCATTTACACACACATCACACACATGTATTTGTGTGTGTGAAGTGAAATTTTCTTGTTTTGCTCTGGAAGTTACTTACTTGATTGGAACATTATAGTTTCAAGCATTAGGATCCAACTATATCATATGGAAATACGGAAACAAAGGGGTCGTCTGTCAACAGTTCTAGGCATTTACACGGCTCATATTCCAAAACTCAACTTCAAGATCAAGAACACTCAGCAACAGAAGCTCAGCCCTTTTGAGCACATCATCCGAAGCCCTTTGCAAGCGCCGAGTGACAATCTTTTGCAGAGACTGGCAATACTGACCAAACCCTTCATTTCCCCATCTCTCACATGTCTCCTTCAGTTCTGGTGGGGTCTTGGAACCTTCTTCAAGACAGTGTGCAAAGCTCTCCTGATACACTGTTTCTATGGCCCAGAATGCTGTTATCACCACTGTATATTCCACTTCTGGTCCCATTAGATTCTCCATGAACCTGTTACAGCACAGCAAGCATATAATTTCCTACTTTAAACTTTCCAAGACGGATTTGGATCCTTTAAAAAATGCATGCAGAACAATACAGAGAGAAGAGTGCGACCCAGTAAGACCCTTTGTGTCTGTTATTTCTTTCACAACTTTAAGATTCAAACCCTTCAATGACAAAATGCCAAAATAAATAGAGATAAAAGCAATATGAACAAATGTAAAGATGTGTGTGTGTGTGTGTGTGTGTGTGTTTTTTTTTTTTGGGCACACCAACCTTAATATACTAACTTGTTTGCATGCCTTTACATGACAGCCATGGTACACATAAAACAGGTCTGAACAAGAAACTTGCAAGAACTTCTCACGTTTGTTAACCAAAGTGCTTCCTTCCACAAGGTACACAGAAAAACATATATATTACCTGACAGTATACTTGATCTACGTAAGCGAAGGTTAACTAACAGGTTCTCTTTCATTAATCTATAACTACCACATTAAACATATACTTTCAACGTCTTTTCTAATCCCCTCAAGTAACATATCTTAGAGCAAATTCATTTCTGCGTAAATGAGCCATTGAATTGCTGCAGTGTCCCATGATGAGTAACAGAACTATTACCAAAAGATTTCCCCATTAGCTATTATCTAATCAGGAAGGAATAGCAGATAACGGAATACATATAAATGGAGAATGATGATCCACGGTTAATAAACCTCACCTGCAATAGTTAATATTTGCTTGCTGAGGAGTTACGTCAGAAAGTGGAACATCCCTCTTGGAGGCTTCTCTTTTGAACCATGATATCTCATCCTCCAGAGAAGCCATTCCCCCCAGTATTACTTCCATATCTGAACTGTCATCTGATTCCTTCCAAGCTTTTATCAGTACACTGGCCGCAAATGGAACAAAGGCTCTGACAAATAAGTAATCTTGTGCCTGCATTATGCATACGTGAAATTCAAGATTGTCTCAATGTCCTTACTTAGAAACACGTCTACAAGGCTCAAACAGCGTCAAAAACCCATTCGGGAAAGAAGGTTAAACAGAAAATTCAAGATTGTGTCAATGTCCGGCCATTACTTAAGAAGGTTAATTGAGTCTTGTAAGAAAAACTTGCTCAGTTGAAAATTGCAGGCATTTCATAACAAAGCAAGTCAAATCGGGACTTGGGAGAAACCAGAAACCCATAGGAGCAAGAGAATTCTAAGCCAATTGGTGATTAAGATGAAACAAACAAACCAAAACAGTAAGTTGGGGTAAGAACCAGCCATGTTTTGAAGGAAGCCATATCGGTGGTGCCGTCGCGAATGGAGAGGACGAAAGGGTGCCTGGTGGCTCCGGTGAACTGAAGTCGGTGCTTCCTCAACCACGCCTCTATGACTCCAATTTTCTTCTCCTCAGCCTTCATTCTCTCCTCCATCTTCCCTTCGTGTAGAATCCTCTGCTGGTGGACAAATTTCACGTTGCTTCTGAAGGGTGAAGAAGAGGAAGACATTAGTAGGCTCCTCGAAGACTCGGTTGGGCTGCCTTCAGTGGCTTATACGTGGCGGTCCTCAGACAGAGAGTCCCATGCATCACCACATCTGGCATTCTTAATGGGCTTTGCCTTCGTGGGCTAGCCCATTACCAAATATCCATATTTCTCAACTAGTCAAATTCTGAATTGAGGAAAGGCCCGTCATATCAAATAATTTTTTAGTTGAGAAATCACTCGAATATAAGAGCAAATTACGCATACATGCTTTAATTTTATTAACGTTAAACATGTTTTGAATTTGTGTTAAAATTAATTCTAAATTTTCTTCAATTTCTTTGGAATTACACACTTTTTTTAATGACAGTTTGTTAAAAAAAGTACCCATAAGCTTAATCTTTGATGTGTTAAAAATATTATGGAGCTTGGGCTATATATGGTATGAAGGATAAAGTTTTAAGAGATTGAGACTGAGATTGAAAATGAAAATGGGCTTAGGATAAAGTTTGGTATGTCATGAGAATACATAAATAAAAATTATTTAACATATGAAATTATGATTTCAATATATCATAGTATCCTTATTCAAAAAAATGAAATCCCCTCGTTCATGGTGGAATCCATTGGATATCTAGAGAAGTTGGTGGAAGATGCTGAATAAATGCCTTGCCTCCTCGAAGCCATAATGCAAGGGTTGTGTTTTCGTTGTCCAAAAATGTTTGAGATCATTTGGTCATTGTCAATGAAGGAGGATGAAGGTAAATTTAGGCTTTTAAATTCATAAACCCATCAAGGTTTCTTTAACGCTCCTCTCCTCATTACCTTTGTTGTTCTCTTCTTCACACAAATTGAAAGTCGCTTAGCCATCGATGGGTAATGGTTCTTTATCATCAATGGGTCTTTGTTGTTGATGGGTTAATGGTTTTCCTTCTCCACTTGATGGTCAACAATATGTTGAATTTGCACCTCCTCATTCCACTCTCCCTCACTTCTTTGTCTAGTTAATGGTTCATGGTTATCAATGGATGTCTTGAATCTCATCAATGCTATCATTGATGGAGCGAGACTCATCATCAACGAGAAAGAAGGATGGAGGTAGATTTGGGTGAAGAAGAATAGAAAATGTTGGAGGCAAGCAAGTGCATTTATGTCTTGGTAAAACCAATCTCAAGATTGTTTTTCTAATGTTAGGGGAATGTTAGTATTTAGTAATTCTATGTAGATGGGAATAGGGTTAGTATTGAATTGATTAATCACTCATACTAAACATGAAGAGTTGGGAAATCTCAATCCCAATCCCAACCTTTCAATGTCTCATGCTAAACAAAGATGTAAGGTAATTTCTCTGAGAAAGACTTTTACTTTATCAATCGAGTTTGAATTTAATTGAAGGGGTTAAGCTCTCACAATATAATGAATTAAGATTTGAATTTTTAAGATGAGAAATGCCTGCATTTATTATCCAACTGTAGAACAACATTACTTTTAGTAGAAAGATAGCTGTAAACAATAATAATAAAAAAGGAAAAAAGAATTTCACCCCTTACAAATATTTAATTTAAAACAAGGAAATAACTTTTAAATATTTTGAATTTTTGTTGAAACTATATAATTTTTCAAACAAAATTAAAATCTCTAAAAGGAAATAAATTCTATGTAATTTGAAAAATATTACACTGCATGTTTCTATAACATACCTACGTAGAAACTTTTTGGATACTTTCATAACTTTAAAAAAATTCATTAAATTTAATTTTCCTACGAGTCAAGTTTGTTAATGTAAAGTAGGGACAATAGATCAATATCTGTTGGTTTTAGTCGAAGCAGTTGTAACATATAAGTACAAAATTTTGGATTCAACGTCGTGTGAAAGCTTTGCTTAAAAAGAAAAAAATCATTCTGTGTGAAAGCCAAAAAAACGTTTTTTTTTTTCATTTAAAACTAAACAATACTTGAATTTGAGACTATAAGACCCCACTTAGTATGCATAGTGAATTTTAAAGGAATAAGAATAAGAATGACAGTGAAAATACAAATGGAAATGAGATAATGAGTTGGGTAAGTTTTAAAATTATGTTTGATATATGAATGAAATGAAAATATAATTTTTATTTTATATCTACAATAATAGTAATATTAAAATACCAAAATGCTCTCACTTGAAAGCCACCATACTATCATTTTCTCCATGTTCCTCCCCGTCGGAGCTCGAAGGTAGATTTTTAGAATCAAACTAATTTCTTGAAAAACCAGATTACAAACTACAAAAATCAAATACAATGAATACAAATATTATAAGAAATAAATAAGCCACAGCCCTGCCACTACAAAATTAATTCGGGAATATTTTGAACATGTCTGCAAGATGCAAAAACTGAAGTATAGAGTCACGAATTAGGAGAGGAAGTTCGATTTGCAATTCATAATAGATAATGCTAGCTTAAAAGATGGAAATGATGCGAGAGCTTTTGTTTGGATGACCGAATTGGGATGAAACGCAATATCTAAATATGAACAGAACCATGAACCAATGCCATCCTTGACGTGCGAGGAAAAAACTAGTTGAAGCTTTTGATGAGGAAAGGACCCATGGATTTATTGAAGAAGAGGGGTTAGGGTTCACTGGGTTGACATTTAGAGTCAGCGATTTAAGTAGGCATGGCAAACAAAAACAAGGAGTTTGGGAGGCGAGGGTTCATGGAGGAGGTCTGACGACCATGGAGAAGAAGGTCAATGGCTGTGAGTAAGAAGAAAGGAGGTCGTGAAGAAGGTTAGTGAAGAACAAGGGTCAGTCAACAATGGAGAGGAGGGGCAATCAACAAGAACACAGAAGGGTAGCGATGACAATGCAAATTCTAACCAGAAACATTCCACTCTCATGCACTAATCGGGGATATATAATTTATAATATGTCATTCTTTCTTTCATTTTCATTTCATTACTTCTCAAATTTGATAGAATTGGAATTGAATAACGAAATGAAACTAGCATGAGGAAAAGGGAAAAAAAAAATTAAAGGCCAGTTTGATATGGTGGAAAAAAGAAATGAAATTCAGCTGAAATTATTTTTCCAGGTGTTCAAAATGAGAAAAAGACAATATTGCCTTCATCTCTTTCACACCATTCTTTCCTCCTCCTGTTCCATAGATAAAATGTCAATTACAGTCTACATAAAATGGGGGAAAAAAAATCCCAAGTTGAGGAGTCATGGAATTGACTTATCCAGAAAAAGTTAGTGGAAATAAATTTTTTTTTAAAAAAAAAAAACCAGACAAAACAAAAGGTGGAAAAAAGGCCCAGGGGTAAAGCAACGTCTTCCGACATTGTCTGCGTATCCCTGTCAGACTTGATGGAGCCAAAATTATGGAACGAAAATGAATCTTCTTGTGCCCAAACACTGTATCGAGCAACCATGAACCAGAGCTGCAGCTGCAAGGAGGAGAAACTTCAATGGCTTAGTTTTGATGACCTAGATTTGCGAGGAGGAGTAGCGGCTTCAGCTACCCGCCTCTTTGCCGAAGAAAAGGAGCTGCTTCCATGGCCGAATCACTGTCAAAGAAGAACACAGTAATAGAGAGAAGAGAGAACGATGTGGAGGTAGATGGAGGAGGCCGGGGGTTGAACAAGACAATGCCCGAGACGTGAAGGAGATGACGCTAAAGATTTAAAAGAGGCGACATTGGTGGCTAAAGATGTGAGGGAGATGACGCGGTGACGAATACAGAAACAAGTACATGTGGGCAAAATTTAAAGCTACTTAAAATATGAGCCATTAACACTAATTTTTACAAATAAAATTAAAAAAATAATTAAAGACGTAGTGAAATTGTGTTGGCCCCTCTTGCATTCGTTCTGGAGATGATACAGTCGTGGTACACAGAGGAGATGTGAGAAAAAGTGAAGGGCATCTTGATCAGTAAAAATAATTTTTCTAGAGAATTAATTTCCACCCTCGAAAATCATTATCCAGCGACTCAATTTGATGCCAGCCAAATCTAGAAATATGTAAAATTCCGTTCTTTTTTCTTTTTCTGAGCCAAGACTCCAATGAATCAAACGGGCCCTAATATTCTCTAGAGGTTCACTCAGATTCAGTAATAAACACGGCCTTGTAACGATCTTCAATAATTTCCTTTCAAAGCAAATTGGCATGATCCTACTAAAAAAAAAAAAAAAGGCATGATCCCACACGAGAAAAGGTCGGTTCCAGTATGTCCAATAAAAGACTGACACGTAAGACAACACTCATCCTATGACGCGTCAATCCGAGAGCGAGCAGCGAGCGTCCTCATTTTCATATCTCCTTTCTGATGCGTTTTCCCCTCAGATATTTTGATGTGCATTATTTGAATTTTCGTCCAGCGCTTAGCGTTTGCCGTCGTACTGAGCCGGCGGAGGTGGCAGAGGTGGTGTTCGTGGAGGTTTTGATTCAATAAATTTTCCAATCAAATTTTAGTGCACGTTGTTTGAGGTCTAAAATCATGGCGGAGAAGTACAACTTGAAGAACCCTGCGGTGAAGCGTATTCTACAGGAGGTGAAGGAGATGCAATCTAACCCTTGCGATGATTTCATGAGTTTGCCTCTTGAGGTATCATGTCTTCTCACCGCAAACTAGTACTTTCATAGTTTTCCTGTTCTATTAGGGTTTCCAGTTCAATATCTCTCATCTTGTTCTTTAATTTCAAATTTCAAAGTACTGTGCTTCCTATTCGATACCCGCTGCGCGTATTTGATGTTTTTTCAATGTAATTATCGACCAATGGGGTTTCATTCAGCTCGACAGGGAGCCTCGCGTTATGGTCTCTGTTGCAATTAATAACGTTTTCGATAGCTGTGAGAGTGTATACTTAATCCGTGCCATCAACACAATAGAGTTACTTGATTAAGCTTGTGGCTGTTGCCAAATTGCGAATCTTGACAAGTTATTTCTTCATGGAAAGAAGCAAATATATCTGACTTCCATCAGAAGTACGCGTCTGACCTCTTGTGTGACGGAGATCAGTTCAGAGGCATCAAATATTCCTTGGCGAGGCCCTGTTGCCTTGGCTTTCTTTATTTTCTTTCATCAGTGTAAAATAAACAAGTGATAATTGGTTCTTTCCTTTTTATTGCATCATCAAAGCTCACCCAAACATGATAGAGTGACTGGATTTTTTTGGAGAAATTTGAAGCTCATTCCACATTCCCACTGAATCATATGTGCTAATATACCATATGAACCTGAACTTTGAAGCCTCTCTTTTCCGCTCTTATTTGTTTATTTTTCTTCATATGAGGGTTTCCCCAACTTGATAAGGTCATAGGGATGTTGTGCATGATTTTTTCCCCATGATCTGCAAGTTTCTTCCATATTTCAAACTTGGCATTTGATTATGTAGTGGCATTGTCCTGTTTTTGCTGTCTTCTAGCAATTATCTTTAAGAGACTCTGATATCATCTTTTTACAGGAAAATATTTTCGAATGGCAATTTGCAGTAAGAGGGCCTTGTGAAACTGAATTTGAGGGTGGTATTTATCACGGACGGATTCAGTTGCCTGCCGAATATCCATTCAAACCTCCTTCATTTATGTTGTTGACAGTAAGATTTTCTCCCTTTTGATAGATTAGATTGTTTTGTCATATTAATTGGCATAATATCTTTCTGAGTTGTTGTGTTTTAATTTTTATCAACCATTCTTTTCTGTAATTTGGAAACTCATTTCTATCATTCTTATATGTTTTACTGTTATTTTGCCAGCCTAATGGTCGTTTTGAGACACAAACGAAGATTTGCTTGAGCATATCAAATCATCATCCAGAGCATTGGCAGCCATCTTGGAGCGGTAAATAGCATCTCCTTTTTAGTTTGATACACTGCGACTACTAAATATTTTGCAAGTCATGTTGGGAGCAATTTAGGAAGACAATTTGCTTCATGATACATTCCAAATATGCCCTATGTGGTTGTTAGAGCTACATGGGAGACTTTATTGTTCTATAGCTTTATGTTGCTTGTTGATTTGCAACTATAGGACTGCCTGAGATGTTTGGTTGTGGCCTTCATAATTCTTTTGAAATATTGGTGCTATCTATGTTGTATTGGCGTTGCAATATTCATAATTCTCCTCTCATGAAAGAAGTTGACATTGTGGTTATTCATGCAATGTCTGTTCACTTTCTTGCTTTGTAACATCTGATGCTTACATCTTAGCCAGGCAAGGAGGGGACTGATTTTTTATTGAGAAAATACTGATCATGCGGAGTATTTTTTATGGTTACTGGAGTAGGACTGATCTTTAAACCATTATCGTTTAATTACTACAGAACGTTGCCTCCATACTCTGAACAATTAATAACCATTAAATTTTTGAAGCTTTAAGCATATCACTGTGATGACCGAAAGGTTCTTACCTAGCTGATATAAATTTCTTCTGGCAGTAAGGACTGCTTTAGTTGCATTGATTGCATTTATGCCTACCAACCCAAATGGTGCATTGGGCTCATTAGACTACAAAAAGGAAGAGAGGCGTGCTTTGGCCATTAAATCTCGGGAAGCACCTCCACGATTTGGAACTCCTGAACGTCAAAAACTGATTGATGAGGTGGAATTGGTTTTCTATTGTCTTGTAGCCTATACATGTTGTATGCAATTCCGTGTTCTAATCTTAATTTTTTATCCCAGATTCATGAGTATATGCTAAGCAAAGCACCCCCTGTTCCCCAACATGGCCCATCACAGGACCCTGAAGAACAACACCCTGACAATGGGGAAGATGAGACCCGGGTTAGTTCTCCAAATCCCAAGACACCAGCCAGTGAGGGGCCTCAAGGTCGGACAGAAGTTGACCGAATTGTTGAAGAACCAGCAAATGCGAATCCTCATCCCTCTGGGGTCGAAGCTCCAACAGAGATTCCATCCAGTGTTTCAAGCAACCAATTGCCCGAAGATTCAGATGAAAGGGTTTTGAATCCAAGGCCAGAAACAAGGGGCCAAAAACCTGATGATCGTTTGTTCACATTGGCTGCAATTGGACTTACAATTGCAATCGTGGTTCTGTTGCTGAAGAAGTTCATTAAATCTGTTGAACATGGTGCGGTTTTCATGGGTGGATCCTAGATGTATTCGTTGTTCGTGCTGGCTTCTGTGCTCGTCAAAAGCGAGCACCCTTTGATGTTGTAACTACAGTAATATAATTGCGTCATACTGCTGTCACCTATATACCGTATGCAATTTTTAGCATTCTTATTTTGCCCATTAATATGGGGTAGTTTATTGTCAACATGCTGGTCCAAGTGCAAAATGTTTGTTAAATACGACATTCAATCCCGATTTGGCAGTACATCTGCTGTTGGTAAATATTTTTTTATTCAAGAATTAATGTACTATTTGCCTATAAATTTGTAGGTCTTGTTTGGCTTTAGATTTCAATTTTTGTACGATGAGAAATTAATTATAAAAAAAAACCGAATATTAGAAAATCAAATTCATTCTAGTATTGTAACAGTTACTTTTTATTTACTCGAAGATATCTTGACAATTGAGGCTAATCCTTTGAATAATCTGAGCACTATCAAAAGAGTGATCTTTTCTCAAGAGATGTTATTTTATACACACGTTTTAGGAATCACTCTGAAATAATGTTTAAAGAGACTGTTACGTTATAATAGTTACTTTTGTTAAATTGATTACCATTGCAATGCATGGTTCACAAACTAGAAAATACCTTTGGCCAAAAAATGTTAATATTAATGGAATTTGAAGAAAAAATTGAATTGTGTTCATAATTTACAAGGAGGGCCACTTATAATGAATTTTATATTTTATTGATAGCTAAAATCTCTATAATAATCTGAATTTTAATAAAGCAAATGAATTGTTAAAAATTCAATAATCACGTTAGTGATTAGTAAGCATTTGATCCAAGATAATATTATTATTATTCATGAAGCCTTCCACTATCTCAGGCACAAAAAGCAAGGAAATTTTGAGCTAGCTTCAAAACTAGACATGAATGAGGCCTATGATAGAGTGGAATGAGACTTTTTATATCATGTGTTAATTAAAATGGTTTTCTCAAAGCCATGGGTTGATAGGATTTTCTGGTGTATTTCATCCGTGAAGTTTAATATCTTAATGGCTGGAAAAAGAATTGCAAGTATTTGTACCTGTCAAGAAGACCCTTTATCCCCCTATCTCTTCATACTGATTGCATTGGTGGATGCTCCAAGCAGTTATCTAGGTTTGCCTGTTCTCTGGGGTAGATCTAAAATCCAAGCTTTTAAAGTTTTGTCATTGACAAAGTTAGAATAAAAACTCAAGGATGGCGACGCAACTTTTTATTTGAAGCAGGGACAGAGGGAGGATGAGCTTCCTGGACTTGGAGTCGCATTCTGGAAGAACGTAAGATTCTTGAAGGCCGGCATTTTCAAGTATTGGAAATAGAAGGAAAACTAAAATTTGGCATGATGCTTGGATGACTTTATTTTTTGGAGTTTGATCGTTCTCTTTTGAGAGATTCTGTTAATGTTTTGTTCATTTTTTTGCTCTGTTTTTGTTGGTTGTAAGACTCTTTATTTTAGTAGAATCTCTTTCGATGGCCGAAAAAAAGAGAGACATATATATATATATATATATAAGTAGAACAACAACAACAACACACTCCTGTTTCATCTCAATTTTATTGAAAAATAACTTTTTCGCACTGTTTTCACTCCAACGCTGCAATATCAAAATCTTTCACACCAAAGATAATTTCTAATATCCAATAGTATATGCAAACCTTTTCTACAATCCAACATTAATTAGATACTTTGAGATATTTCATAAAGTCATTAGACATATAAATACAGGCTCTAATTGTTATTATTTTCACCTAAAAAGGCTGATTTCCAGAATGCACGTGCTTATAAACATGGTCAGAGATAGATTCCACAACCAAATCCCCCAAAGAGTTTTTGGTTCATCAAATTCCCTTCACAAGAAGTAGCGTTGACGTCATTTTCATCCAGAAAGAGTGGAATCTATAAGCATTCTAAGAAAGTTGAGTATAATGACTAAAATATCTTCAGACCTATTCCAAAAAGCAACATCTTTTATTAGGAACTTTGAATTACAAATTAAAATGAATTTTAGTTTTTAATCAATATTAATATTAAAAAATATTTACACAAAAAATTGAAAATATTAATATTAATATTTTTTTTAAAGGTAAGTAAACTCCCCCCCCCCAACAAAATCAATAACCATCAGACCATGAAAGAAATATAATCACCTGACATCAAACTCAAATTCAAAGCTAAAAAAAAATCTTATTCATTACGTAGTAAACATCATTGTTTCATTCCATCAAATTTGATTATTTTTCTTATCCATATTCTCATTTACTAACAAACATTTTTGCCAGGAGATAATGGCATTTATGAGCACATCCATTAACATAGGCACAAACACAGTGAATGCGTGGTGCATCATAAACATGCAACACAAACACCGACTATATAAGCACTCAAATTCATCCAGTACAAAACATAAAGATTACATAACATCATTATTTTACTAGAACCTAAGTTCATTTTGGAAAGCAGCAGAATACAACTTATCCAGCAGGCAAGGTAGTCATGGCTCAACCAGATAAAAGCTTATCCCTTGACTTAGAGCAAACAACATAGAAAAGCAGCTTTAATGGGACTCTGCCTTCACCACAGTCACAGGGCAAGACGCGTTATTCACTACATAGTTGCTGACACTACCCATTATAGCCCTGTCAATAATGAAGAGAATGAACAGCAACTCAATATCTAGCAGGAGTCAGAATAGACAACATTCTCAAGTATTTCCCTTATCCTTATCCTTAATGTACCAAAGAGTTTTTCATCCAAAATAAACTGCGAATCCATGACTCACACAAAGTCTGGAATGAATCACACTGTTGATGAATAGTTTATGAATATTTAAACTAGGTTACCTTTTGAGGGTACCAAGGCCTCTGTTCCCCATGATAAGGCAGTCCAGAGGTGTGGTATTAACTGCTTCACAAATTTTCTCACGAGCATCTCCCCAATAGATCTTCAACAGGACTTCAACCTGCGCCACGAAAAGAGTTGAAGCTATTCTGAAATCTGATGAACATTTGAATTTGAACAATCATCACCTTCAAATTTTAAGGCCAAAGAAACTATAATTATATTTCTACCTTGTGTTGTCTAGCCGCAGTTTGGACAATATCCAGTGTTTCTGCAGCAGGTTTCACTCCATACTTCTTCATGATAACTGGATTAGAGAACTCGGCCAGAGGAATCAAAGCTGCATTTGGGCTCAATATACAGAAATCCATTTAGTGCTAGCTCATAATAAATATGGGGAAATGGTTGGAGCTTCGACAGTTCATTAAATCTCCTCATCTTGAAAGAGGGGAGAGGGGAATATCATCTGGATCTATGAAATGCTCAAAAGATCTACAGCTAAAAAGAGAAAATTCTTGCCTTGTAAAACAAGAACAAAATCAGGACCAATAAAATGCCCATGCTTCTCTGCAGTAGGTTTTAAATTCCTAGAATTTGAACTCATACGATGCAACATCATTTCAGTTCAATAGAAATCAGAGATTTCTGAAGTGAAACTTAAAGCAGCATGATCGTGTGATTTAAGAATCTAATCGTTAAACTATTCGAAGCAAAGTCAACATCGGTCAATGTTGATTAACAAAGTCCCGAAGCCAATAGAAAAAAAAAAAAAAATACAGTGCAAACAAGAGGGAAACAAACAGGAAAAAAAAAAAACAGAAGCAAAAGGAGGGAGTTCATTACGAGAGCCAGTAGCAGCCCAGAGCTGAATCTCGCCGTTCTCGTAATCCGATTCTTGGCTGATGTTGACAAGAATGAGATGATCCCCTTCTCGGACCAGATTATCCACGGTCCATTGGAGAGCTCTGTTACTGCAAGGGGAGAAATCAACGGCCACACCGACTCTCCTATGAGCTGCCATTTCTCGCTTTCGCAACAACAAGGCGAAGTGCAGAGTTCTGAAACAAGTTTTTATTTATTTACTTTTTTTTGGATATGAATGCTTCACAGAGAAAGCTTTATGACGAAGACCGCAACTTCTGAGGCTGAGGCTGAGACGACCGGCGCAATCTTCTGTGCTGAAAATTAAAAATGGCAGACCTTTGAGACTCTTGCCATTAGTTCTGACCGTTGAATGATGATTAATAATTGAACGGCCCCTTTTCACTGATGAAGTTTGTATCCTATAAATATCCTCTCTTTAAATTGATGCTATTATTAATCATACTTTAAGATGTTTTTTTACTTACACGTGTTCGATGTAATTTTTTAAGTTTTGTTTTAGTGTTTCTTTCAAAAATCTTGTACAGTTTTTCTCTTATTGGAACGGCCCCATGGGAAGAGATTTGGTGTTATTTAAATAAATAAATATAGTCTAATAATAAAAAAAGAGCATGACATACTCCGAGAATATAATACATTTTTTAAAAAATTAAATATTTAAAAATATAATGTATTTTTAATTTTTTAAGATATAATTATTATTTTTTAAAAAATGCCCCCATTGATGATAATTTTATATTTATTGTTAGGTATTTAATAAAAATAAATATAAAAAGATAAAGTTAGTTGAAAAGTAAGTAATTACTTTATTGAAATATAAAATTTAATTAAAAATATTTTATATTTTTTAATGAAGGGAGTATATTTTACTATGATGATGAGTGATTAATGACTCTTGAAGATATTTAAAACATAAGTGTCTAAATTCCAAAAGGAAAGGTCATTAATTATCTTAGTTAAATAATCAATCAATCGATATTTATATATTTATAACCTTATGGCTACTTAATTAGAGGCAAATAAAAAATTTAGAATATTTTTCTTTTGTAACAAAATCTAGAATATTTTTAAATTATTGTTCATAATTCTAATTATTAGACCCTTTCACAGGCCAAAAAAATTATTAGATCCTTTCAATTTGGGACAAATTGTAAAGTAATGACATGGGTCTGTTTCTATTTCTATTCCTAGATATTTTATTTTCTAATTCATGAACTGAATCTCAGCAATTGACTGGGACTATGAAAATAACGGGGCGTGAATGAATGAAAATAGCACGTTGCATAACAATGAAACCTCCCCTGGATATCGATCATGTGCAGTGAAAACCATGTAGTGCATGGGAGATGGAAAATCTTGACCCTGAATTTTTATCTAATGGCTAGTAAAAAATAAGTGTATAAAAAAGTTTTTCATTTGTCACAATCATAATTTATGAAAAATATAATATTTTTAATAAATCTGTTAATAACTAATTTAAATAATACAGATTTTATCTAGAAAGTTCAGTTTAATATTAATTTTTTTATTTTTTATAAATTGATATCCAGATATATTTTAAACAGTTTAAATTTAATTTTGGTTTATATTTAAAATTTTTAACTTACAATTTTTTTTAAAAATTATTTTTTAGAAAATGTTAGAAGTGTTATCATTATTTTTAATATTATATTTATCAAAATAAAAAATTGTAAGCATTATAAAAAAATTTAATATTAGTTATAAACTGTCCAGACTTCAAAGTATATTTGAATAGGTAATTTATAAAAAATAAAAAAGTTAATATTAAACTAGACCATCCAAATAAAATCGGTATTGTCCAAATTAGTTATTAATTGACTGATTAAAAATATTATATTTTTTATTAATTTTTATTTTGGATAAAACATGACTGTGTGTTTGCAAATGAAAACCTTTTTATATACCTATTTTTTATTAGCCATTAGATAAAAATTCATGATCAAGATTTTTCACTTCTCATCCACTGCACGAATTCCACTACACATGATCCATATCCAACCTCCCCTTAAAAAAATATAAAGTTATTCTGTTAAAAAAAATATAAAGTATTTTTTGAGAGGTTAAATGTTAAAAAATATGAAGCATTTTTAGTCTTTTAAAGTATAATGATTATTTTTTTTTCTAAAAATATCTCTATTAAATAAATTACTTTATATTTATAAAAGTTAAATATAAAAAAATAGAGTTAGTTTAAAAACAAACAACTATTTTATTAGAAATAAAATTCAATTAAAAATGTCTTAAATTTTTAAAAGGAGTTAGCATTTTGTTTATCATCATTTCTTAAAATGTTTGTCATTAATTGATATGAAAAAAATAAAAAAATGTTTTACATTTAAATTGATACAAAGTTACAGCTGCATCAGAGCATATATTATTGCTCCTTTCATCTAACATTGTAAGAACATTTTTTAAAGTATTAAATTCATAAATAGAAAACATTTTGAGTGCAATTAATAATTTTTTTAAAAAAACCTTAATTAAGGGATATAATTAATAATTTTTTTAATTAAAATATTCTATTAAATAAGAATAAGTATAGAAAGAGTATGTAATTTGAAAAATAATTAATCAATTTATTAGAAGTATAATTTAATTCAATTAAAAATGTCTTATAACATTAAATAGAACGAATATATCCTAACCATTCACCATGTTGAAAAATATTTTAATATTGTGATCAATAGATGAAAATACTCTCAACTATTTTCTTTATAAAAATTGCCATTTGCGTTAGTCATATCCATTATCATTGTATTTTAAATTAAAAAAAATTACGTATAAGTCTCATGAAATAGATTTATTTATAAATAAGTCTTATGAAATTTAGAAACTACAATCAAATCTCTTAAAACTTGAATGTAATTTGAAATTGAGATCAAAAGGCAATAATGCTCACATTAAAAATACATTACATCAATCAAATAATTTACAACTACTTTATCATTAATATACAACTATTACTTTAATTTCTTACAACAATAACTTCATATATTTAATAGTTAAACCAACTATGCATTGTTTAAAAGTCTAATATTAATTATTTATAATTATTTTATTAGTAATTTATAACTATTACTCTAACTTTTTATAGCTATAACTTCACATATACTCCTTTCATTTTTATTTATAGGAGAAACTATCACTTTTAATTTATTTTTTATATAAATAAAATCATATTTTTAAATAGGCATTTATTGCAAACTTTTTAAATTACTTCCTTATAATTTCATCATTTACAGTTATAAGAAATAATTAATGAAAGCTTAATTAAAATAATTAATAAAGGGTTTTGTAGTCTAATTTTTTTATTTTTAGACACAATTAATACAGTTAACTAATTTTATTAAACTGTATGATACAACTTTTTTTCCTATAAATAGAAATGAAAAGAGTGCATTACTAATAAAATTTAACACTAATTATTTATAACTATTTCATCATTAATTTACAATCATCATTTCATATTTTTATAATTATAATTTCACATATTTAATAGTTAAAAGTTTGAATATTTAATGTAAAAAGTTAAAGTTATAATTATAAAAAATTAAAGTGATAGATATAAATTATTGATAAAATAGTTATAAATTATTTAATTGATATAATGTATTTTTAATAGGGGTATTATTGTCCCTGTACTTTAATTTTTAATTACATTTAAATTTTAAGAGACTTAATGTTTTTAAATTTTGAGAGATTTATTTGTAAACACGTTTATTTCATGAGACGTATATTAAATTATGTCCTAACCTTTTCCTTCTCTCCTATAGGTACCTCTATAGGTTTATTTAATCCTCATTGCATGTAAAGTATAGGCTGGAAAGGGGGACAGCCTGTATAATTTCTGGCTTTGCATCTTCATTGGCTAACATTTGCTGTAAATTTGAAATGATTATAAATCATTCATCACAAAATCTCACGAAGTTATTACAACCCTGTTGCTGTTGGCGATCAAAAACAGGGGAAAGCACTCCTTTTTTCTCTCTCTCTCTCTTTCTCTTGGCTGGACATTGCTGTGAAAGAATGTGAACTGTGAAACTCACAGAAAACCAAAAAAAAGCTTGCGGAGAATGAGCCCAAGTGTTGAAAACCAAAAGTCAAGTGAAACAACTGCATTCCAGTTTCTTCCGCCATGATTTCCTTCTTGTTATATACTCTTTGACCTGCCCCTCAACTCCTGCATAATAAAACCTCTTCAAATCCACTCCTTCGCAAAGACTGTTAAAGAGTGAAAGAACTTCTTCATCCACGTTATCATCGACCTCGTCTTCACTTTCTCTGACCACAATCCTCAGATGCCTGAACAATCTGGCATCTTTCACATCTTGGATGAAGTCTTTCATGAGCAAGGCATAAGATGTGAAGTACTGAATCTGATGAGAGTGATGCTGCTCAAGTGCAATAAGGTTTGCAAACAGAACCTTGGTGTACTTCTTGGTTACAAGGGGAGGAATCTCAAAAACCCCATCAGAAAAGCTTATGTCTAACAAGCTTGTGGCTGTGAACTTCATGAACTTGATTCCTTGTTTCTTAAGTTTTGTTGCAGACTCGGCATCTTTTGCTTTTGGTTCTCCACCAGCTATGTTTGACTCAACTATTGAATTTGTAGGGATATAGCACTGGTGGATAAGGTCGAGCAAATGGTTACCTTCTTGGCTGAACTTCTCTCTGAGAAAGGCCCGTTCTCCTGGTAACATGTTTTTGAAGAAACCGAGTGCAAGCTCGGTTAGAGTACACTGTGCTGGAATGGGCACAATCACGAACAGACTCTGAAGAACCATCCATGGAATCTGGTTTTCTAACAAAATGAGGTTTTTCCTGACTGCAAAGAACAGCTCGGAGGTGAAGATGGGATCACCACGGCGTCTCAGACCCTTAAAAGCATATTTTAAGAAAAGCTCGATGATGAAGCAGCCATCAAGGAGCATTATTTCCACAAACTCGTCGCTGGTGAGATTGAGTGTTTCTTCATAGCAGTTTCTTGCTGTTTGCTCTATATCTCTCAGCGCCATCACACATTCGTGCAACGTTGCTTCCAGGTTCGGCTTGCGACTGAGCAGAGTATAAAGGTAATGCAACTTGTGATCTTCCTTGAGTTTTAGGTTTTCATTGTCGTGATGGAAGGGACCAATAGAAACTAAATCAGGGATATACATTTCATTCTCAGGAACATTGTGTGAGCTCCTGATATATATTTCATCCTCAGGAACATTATCTGAGCGCCTAAGTTTCACCGGCACTCTGAAGATAGATTTCAAAGATGAAATGGCTTCTATCTTTTCTTTAATGTCACATGCAAGTTTTCTGTCTCTCTCCTTGAAACTACCAGTTTCCATCTATGACCAGACTTCCCTGTTTACACGGAAAATTGATACCTGAAAGCCTCTAATCTGTAAGTAATTATACTGTGCAACATGATTTATGCATGTTTTGATACATATACGTATATGCAACATGATTTGAAGTTAGCCGTACCTACACATGTAGCAAAATATAACCATTTACATTATCCTAAAGTACTGAGAACAGGAGGAGGATAGAGCCTTCAGTTTCCAAATTCTAGGAAGCATGTGCATCTCTGAAAGGGAATTATGCATGTTTGTGTCAAGTAGACGTTTTTCTTTCCATACATCGTGTCAAGTAAACGTTGAAAGCTTGTGTTAAACACTAAGCAACACATTTAATAACTAAGGAATACTTTAGAATTCGTTGTGTTCCAGTGTTGTTGTCTTGCTGCGCTTTGTATGTGTGTCAGTTTTCATGTTTCTGAGCTCTTCCTAAGCTATTGAGAACTTCATTGAGATGAGGAAGGAACAGTTTGCTTTTACCTGGCATTCCATGCACCTAGCCATCTATGTGCCTTCAGATGTCATTTTAGAATTTATACACTTCAATTTTTAATTCCCATGAGGGTAAAATTTTCAAATGGCATCTTCATGGTATTGAGAATGATTGATAACTTTACATGAAATCAAATTCCAAGAATCAACATAGGAAGATGAGTCCTTGCTTTCTAGCTTCAAAATGATTCTCTCTTTAACTAAACAGCAGGCTAAGTCGTCAGTGAAAATGCTAAGGCATGAAGTCATGCTATTTTGTGAATCAAATTGTTTGAATTGGATAATACTTCCACAGACTTCTTAGAGAAGAGGCAGGGAGCAAACCGTCTATTTTGATTAAGCCAGACATGCAGAACAAATCAAACCAGGAGAGAACTTTTTCAAATGGGTCAAAGGATAAAGCTAATTTTAATTATGATTTTCTGTTTTCTATTTTTTCCCCCTTCTTTGTCGCTTTTCTGACTGACAAAGTCTTGATTTAAATTTGGGACCCAATCCGTAATTACAAGAGACAGCCCGTTACCATTACTTTTTTTTATTCAAATAATAATAATAATATTGTATTTCTTGAAATTAAGATAAAATGAAAATGTGCTCGAGTCCAGCAGGATGCTCCAGCACATGAGAGAACCCAGATTGCCTAGCAGGATGATTTAGTGGCTAAACTTCGGTCTTTAGGTAAATGTACTAATAAATCACGTGATATCTTTTACACACACTTTCATCCTAATCTGTTGCCGACTTGAGACATGACATTTGTTGAGGTAAAGAAGTGATCTTGCATTCTATATATCAATTTCATAGCTAGAACCCCAATGCTGAGAAGTAAAACATTTTTTCTACTTTCTTACTTAATTAGAAAACATGCAAAGCGCAGTTTCCAGACAGAATGCAAAGATTGACTACTGAAATCTCAAGTGGGGGAAAAAGAAAAGAAAAGAAAAGAAAAGAAAAGTACAGACCTGGATGTGAGCTGTTTAAGTTCGCAAATAATGACTTTCTGCCGCAAACCTGCTTCTTTATTTTGGCGCCAGCACTACAGCCAGAACTGTTGCATCCATGACATATTTTGTATTGACGCCTGAGCAATGGAAGAATTTATATACCTTGCCAAAACTACAGGAACCACCATAACTGAAGAAAGAAAGTTCACTGGAATCCAAGATAACTTGGGGAGAATGGTAAGAATAACTGATGCGGTAAACCACTGAGTGAGGAAAAGAGAAAGTGTGTGTGACAGAGATGTCATTTCATCAGAAGCTGAATGAGCTAATGGTCAGGTAAGAAAGACCGAGAGAAAGCAAAGCCGGTTCTTAATAAAGAAAAGAATGATTACTTGACAGAAAATTCAAGAATTATTTGCAGAATTAGTACGACTCAGAATATTTGCCGACCACAGTCACCCGCTTCTTTCTTCTCTTATTTCCAGTCTGTTTTTGCTTCTTTTCTTTGGTGAATGGGATTCTTCCAACAAATTTTGCTCAAGAAGCTGAGACAGCTGCACAATATCAGGTCGTGATCGTGACTCATGAGATCTTTTCGCAAAGATTTCTTTTGGTCTTTGTACAAAACAGGAGGAACACGTTTTGAATGTCTGCCCCATAAAATATGTAGGAGAGGGAAAACGCTTGAACCAGACACTTGACGAGTTCAGCAGCCAAGCTTTTTCCAAAATAAGTAAATTTTCCCGTTACGGATGGGTTATAAAGCTATCATATAAAAGCTATAAAGCAGATACATTTCAAGATTCGGGTCGCATTCCTGTTGCACTTGCGTGGAACGCTACATGGTCTGTCTGTCACATATGACATGGTTCTTCAAAAACGATCCTTGGTCACTTCATGTTTACTATTTCAATGTGCGTGTCGTGTAAGAAATATGAACCACAAAAGCAATTGCATGGCCATATGTAAAAGATGTAAAATTCCATACTAAATTGATGATGGTGTGCCCTCCACTATGGTACTAAGAATTCCTAATGTGTTCTTCTTTAATTCTCATTATAATATCCTAACTTTTTAATTTTATTTTTTATTTTTTTTGAATTATTGACTTTTATATAAAAGAAGAGACATTTTAATATTTTAATATCTCAAAATGATAAAAATTTATATTTTTTACAATTTTTTAAAGAAAAATATCACAAATATACTTTTTTATTTTTGAAAAATCATAAAAAATATAAATCTTCACCATTTTGAGACATCAAGATATCACAATATCTTTTATTCTATATAGAAATCAATGAACTAGAAAAAAAATAAAAAATGAAATTGAAAAATTAAGATATTATGAAGGTATTAGAGAATGACACATTAGAAACCCCTAATCCACCGTGCTGCATAGCAAGCCAAGTTATATATGGGTGTGTCATCTTTTAAGAAACTTGCCGTCAGAGAATGTTTAATAGAAGATACCATCCATAAATTGGAAGGTGCACGTTATGGGGATTTTGTTCATAATATTCGTGTTGAAACACCGGCAAACCTTCTTATAAAACGGTAGTCACTGACGATGATGGCCCAGAGGCCTGGAAAGCCAGTATTACATTTATTACTTCTTTTTGTGGGCCAAACAAAGAGGAAATTTCATTTAGTACTTATATTCTTTTTAGCTTAATCTAAATCCAGACATTAATCAATAACATCGGGTATGTTCTATAGTTGTTAAAAAAAATCACATGGAATGCCACATATTAATCCAGATTTTATGTAACCCTTAACGGTGTTACTTTTTTTTCCCCCTCTTGATTGTTCGAAAAATGTTCTTTTTTTCTCTAGCCAAACTCACAGGTGTTCATGATTTATTCAGAATCTCAACCAATAGATGAATTGAATATATGAAATTGGCTTTAAGAATGGTCACATAAAGATGGTTTACTAGAATCAAAGTGCTCAAATAAACAACAAACCTTTTGAAGTCCATGGTTGGCGAAATATATCTATTAACCGTGAAGTAATAGTTGTATCATTCCATCAGAGCCCTTACATGAATCAGAATAAGAATTAGGATAAAAATAATGTAAGTTTTCCCGTTTTTTATATTCTAAGTATATCATTTTATGTTCATGAAAGAAGTATATTATTTAATCTCTTCCAAATTTTGTTAACACTTTTTAAATTTTTTTGCCAACTCAATTTTTGTTAACACTTAATCATGGTATGCTACTCGGGTAAAAAAAAAGAAAGAGAAAATGTCAATTAAAAATGCTATAAGATCATTAATTATAATTAAAAATTTTGAATTATTAAAATCTCAATAACAGACCATAATCTTTACTTGAAACTAAAAACATATAAATTTAAAATTAAAAAAAGACATTTTTGAAATTATTATTAGAAGTTAAAACTATTATTAATCTTAGTTAGAAAAATTAGGAATTACACTTGAAAATGAGTTATCTCCTAATATAAAATTAAAATTTACTTATAAACTTTTAAAAGACACCTAACGAATATAAAATAATCATTTAGAAATTTATCAAAATCATTTTAATTATAAAACCAATTATTTGTGAATTTTTATACTCACTAATATATAAGCAAACCACTTAAAAAATAAAAAAAAACAATACTAAAATTACTATTATAAGTTGAAACTATTATAAATATCAATTTAAAAGAATAAAAACCCTCAATGTTATAAGTTAAAACTATTGTCAATTCATTCTCCATTATAAATCTTTTTTCAACTAAAATTAATAGTAATTTCAATAATACATTTTCTTAATTTTAAACTCATTTTTAATTTCAAAAAAGAACCATGATTCATTATTAAAATTTTAATAATTTAAAATTTCTAATTTAATTTATAATTTTATGGGATACTTAATTATCATTTTCTCTTAAAAAACATGATATGCTATTTTCAAATTAAATTTTTAATGAAATAATAACAGAAAATTTAAAAATGGTAAATATTTTTTATGGTTAAATACGTGATATATTAATTATCCATTTAGTATATTGAAATAACGAAAAGATCACAGAAAAATTAAATGATCTCTAATTATAATTTTCCCACGGTTATTTCCTTATGGTCTCTCGCACTAAATGCTGACAGGAGCCAGCAGAGTAGAGATAGAATCCCTAGCAACAAAATATTGAATATAACCCGTGTCTCATCCGCTTTGGGGGCAAAACAATTGTTTCTTCTCTCATACATGTCTATCTAAAGAAGGGAAGGTAGAGTAAGAGTGACTCGATGTCGCCCAAGGCATTTTCCTTTTTTTTTTGGATCCCACCCCCTTTATCAAATTCCTGGCTTCCTGCAACCATTTTATGCGATTCATAATTAGATCAGCTCCTCGTTAAATTACGCAAGAGACGCACCTTTGAAGCGTCAGTATTTCCTGTAATCTTGATTCTCTACCGCCACTTTTCAACTACCTCTCTACATCTCGCAACCAACACTTCATAAAATTTGTAAAAATAAAAATTAAAAAGATTCCTTGATTTTGGTTGTTTGTGAAAAGATGTAGAGATATAACAGGGAAAATGGTAGTAGAGAATCAAGACCTCCGTTTCCTGTATCTTGTTAGGCCGTGGAAGAAACTGGATCCCAAAATGGAATTGAATTCCGGAATCGTCCTGTGCAGACACTGACATCGGATATCTTCTTCCTCAACACGCTTGCGGAAATACCTTCTCACTACAGAAAATGGACAGGATTACCTTTGGCACGCTTCCCGTTCCCTGGTTCGGACAACGTTGTGTTTCATGAAACAATCATTCAAGCTTGTATGCTCGAGTGATTTCCCAGGCAGTTGAATTGCCAACGGAAGGCCTTGTATCGATCCATAGCTCTCGATTTTACAATTCACCAGTGCAACCATGAAACTCTCATTCTCTAACGACGACGGGTACATTACTTGTTCTTCCTGATCATTAAATAATGTGACGGCATGTGAGAAGCATGTATACTAACATGATCGACAAAGTTACAAGGACGATACGTAAGTTCATAGTTGATACTTGCCGAGCGAGTTGTTTTGTTGCTTATATGACATCAACTAAAAATTGATGTTTTTATGCGCAGAGTTCAAATTTCTACCCCATATGTTGGCGAGGAAAATAAGTTGATAGCTAACACAATCGAATGTGTACTCGAAAACAACTAATCTCATTTGAGCTGATAATTAACAACCTTCCCGAGCTACTTCCATCAATGGTTCAACTACTTTTTTTCCCAGAGCAAGGCTACGTGTATAATTGACTGAAAAGATATAACAAGTTTCGACAGATTAATCTGAAAGACTAAATGTATATTGAGTAGTAGAATTTCTAACTACGGTGTCATGTTAGCACCCCTGCTGTATATCATACAATTTCATTAGTGCATGTGCAACTTTCTTTCTAACCAACGAGATCAATAAATTCAGCATATAAATGAGATGCTACCGTGTGAATTGTTGGTCACGTTCTCGTAGTTACTTTTTAGGCCATGTCTACGATTTTTAAGAAATTAAGTCTGCCAATAAAGTCTTCGAACAAGAAATACTGAATTAGACACGTTACCTCAGGAAGTTCATGAAACTCCTCAGGAGATATCTGCAGTAAATCCATAGCCGTTTGACCAGTAGACCATGCCAAAACTTTAGCACTCTCGTCTGCAACGGTAATTTTCAAGTCGAAAGTTCGCACTACTTCAGCATCACAAACTTGATGGCAGAAGCTGCATTCTAAGAGGCCACTAGGCATCTTGTTGACGAAGTGAGCACATAGAGAATGTGAAAATCTAGTATTAACATGAAAATGTTCCATCGGTTCAAGCCAGATTCGACATATCTGCGACATTTATTAGAATGAAACAATCAGAATATCAATGCATCTTATAGAACTATGGAAAGCCGTTCTACTTACAAATTATGAACAGTGCCTTTTTGGTATAGGGTTTCATGTGCTCTCTTTCATTTTTGTTCAATCTTCTTTCATTAGCTTCTCTATATTTTTCCAAAATTTCTATGTTGCTGATGCAATGTCATATGATTGTCTATGTGACATGCTAGTTGCTTATTGCAAGATTTATTTTTATTTGAATCATCAACTTCATTTTCTTGTTCAGATAAAAAAACTTCATTTTATTGCATATTATATCTCTGTCTCAGATCATTTCTTCCATGCATAGCACGAGCACCGCAAGATATCTAATTTTTGGATGATTAATAGCAATTAGATATATATCTATATATATAGAGAGAGGGAGGGAGGGAGGGAGAGAGAGAGAGCTGCTTCATTATAAGAAAATACACTTGGAAGGAAACATGTCACTACAAGAAAATATAAAAATAAAGATGATAATTATAAAATGGAAAACGTTTTAATTGCCAGGCAATTAAAATTGTATCACAGAAAGAAAACACGCCTTTGGATCTAGCGTGCCACAAAAATTTAATGGCCTATGCAAATTTCATATGTTTCTTTTGCCAAAATGTAGATTGACTAGCATTCAGAGGCAACAGCCTCCGACGCCCCGCACCACTGCAGCAGGAAAGGTCTTACCCATCAGCCCACTTTGCCAGGACATGGCAGTAGCGCAACGACCTAGCCCAAGCCGCCTTCTTAAACTACCTCCAAAAGAACCGGCTTAAAGGTTAATTGGTGGACTGATTACGTGAGGTCTAGATGAGGACCTAGCTCCATTTTCTCAAAATGGAGGAAGAGGGAAATTTGGGGTTTGTTTGATTTTGTTCCCATTTTTCTTTTTTAAAAAATATTTTGTAAACCACTTTTTAAAAATTATTTTTCAAAACAAAGCAAAAAAAATCAACGGATAATAATGGTCCCAATTAATGGTAATGGCCTGTGGTAGTGGTTGGCCATAACCAACAGTTGCTAGCCAACGGTGGTGGTTGGGATTGTAAAGTAATGTCAACGATGGTGTCGAGTGGTAAAATTGTGATCTTGAAGTAGTTATCTGCCTGAGATTTCTTTAGTACGATTTTGTATATTCAACTGTGCTTCATACACTGCTTGAGTATGTGCAAGCAGAAACGAAGCAGGGGCCTCTAGAAGGAACAGCAACCCAAATTCATTGCTAGATATCTTGTCTAAACTGCATGACATAAATGTTGAAGGTCTTTTACATGTTGCAACGGCTTTCATTTTTTTTTTTGACCGAAGGATGGATGAAAAGACACCATGAACTATAAACAACCACAATACACAGTAACTGAATCAAGTGGAACGAAAAAACAGAATAAAAATTGTTAAATTAATCCCCCAAAAAAAAAAAGTTAACTTACTTTTGCATAGCCAGTCTGGCTAGTCGTATCAGATAGGCGTGATAGCTTATGAAGACAAGATGAGTTGATCAATGCTGGCAAGCAACTGATATTGATGAAAGATGCCCCATCATCATTCTCAAACCACGATACTTCCAGGCTGCCAATGAAAAACATTCAACCGGATCATATTATTATTATCTTAATGCTTTAACCTGAGTAAATGAGTGCCTGAAAGGTAGCTAGACAACAGCTTTTAAAGAATGAAATCGACCCAAGCTGTACTCTAATATACTTCCACAAATCGAAAAAAGTGGTCATAGATAAGGTGCTGTGTTTTTAACGATCAAGTCGGACGTGCTCACCGCTTTTGTTTCGACTTGGAGCAAGTCAAGCCAGATATAAAAACAGCGTGACCGAGACCTAATCTTCCCAGTGACCTGAAATATTGGAGAATGGGGAAATACTTAGAAGATTGGTCAGAAGAGCAAAATGGGGGATAAAATCATGATGCTATTCGTTCGTTTTCTTTCCCTTTTTTCTTGCCCTCCCCTCTTCTCTCTCCTTCATTTATGTTCTCTCGAAATGTTCAGGCTTAGACAGACCCATCCCTGAAATGTCTACCCAAAACTACCTAAGCAGGAGAAAAAGGAAACTTTGCAGTAATTACCAAGATGCCGTAAAATGAAGCTTTGCCCAAATTGATCCGCTAGCATCTGCAATTCTTATAGAGAAGGTAGTTTCTGAGCTTATATCTTTGATAATATCTGTAGCAACACCATAGAGGCTGACGCCAGTCATTTTGTCCTGAAGGTCAGCCACAAACGACTGCAAAACTTCGCCCAGATAAAAATGCTAACAAATAAACCATGAGATGCGGAAGATAAATACCTTCTGAATACAGTGTATGAAAGATGATTTGAAAGATTTCAAAGATGGCCATTTCCCTAGCAATAGCTATATAAAAATATAGACATAAAATAAGGGTCTTCAGAATACTAGAGTTTTATTAATTATTGTTAACCTTCAAACGCAATAATGCATTGCTGACATGCACATTGCAATCAGCTCCGAAAGAAAAATAGGAAAATGCAGAAACAGAGAAAAGTTGCCACCAATTATCCAGTCCGACTCTTGAGTGTTGGGATTGGCAACATTTGCAAATGGAGACAGCTAAGTAAAACTGGAAGGATGAACCTCAACATGAAAAGCTCTTCATATATTTCAGTATAAATTTTATTAATTTTAAAGAGCGCAATTAACCATAAAACAATTTACGCCTTCAATTCATCTTATTTGCAGAGCCGATAATTCAGCTGGATCGGGCTCAATTCTGACTGGGCTTAATCGGATCGGGTTTAAAAATATCCTATAATATAGGAAAAATCATATAACCAAGTTTGACCCTATCCTCAAGCCTTCAAGTTTATTTGAACTGGCCAAAATACCCAAATTATTAAACATTATTTTATTTTTATTTTTTATCTAATTTCACGTTTTATTTAAAAAAATTAATATTTTCAATTTTTATAGTATTTTTATATTATTTTATTAATAATAAAAAAAGAATTCTGGTTTGTGCTTGGCTTGTATTTCTTCAAGTTTATTCAGGTGGCTCAAATAAGTTCAGAGTAAAAAAATCTTTTAAACCTCCAACCCCAACCCAAAGATTTTTCGGGCTTATTCAGGTTAGTTCATCAAACTTAACCTAAATTACTACCTCCGGCCGTTTGATATTGTACTCCAGTCAAATGTATGTTAAATTTCTGGAAAATAAAACAAAACACGAGCTACTGGATTCTAATAAAAACAAGAGAAATTAAATGCTAAATAGCTTCTATGATTGTTTTGGGGGATGGGGGCCTAGGAATATCTTGAAGTTTGTTGTGTAGAGAGAGATGGAAAGTAGACTCACCCGAAAAGGGTAATTACTGTAATCAATGGTTCCGAAAGAATCACAGGGCAAGCTCACTTGAGAAAATCTGGGACTCTGACTAGGAGTACATGAACTCAAGGACCTTGAACTTTGATGACCACATGGTGTTAATGAAATGCGCACCTGATCAACAAAGTCATCAGTTAAGCAATATGGCAAATTCCACGAGACACAAATCCATGACTCACCTGTTCTTCGTGTTGAATGTAAGGCACCAGATATAATTGTGTTGCAGTTCCATATTCAAGACAAAATTCCTCACTTGTTTCAATTCCACACTCTGTAGAACTTGAAATATATGGTTTGTCCAGTGCAAGCATACTTCCAACTCTGGAACCAAAAATCCTTTATAGAACCTTATTGAAGACAACGGTACTCAAACTTTGGGGGTCTGAAACAGTACAAGAAATCACCTGAAGAGATTGGAAAGGACAGTCTGCTCACCCCATAAGAGAAATTGTAGCTTCACATCGTTGCCATCTACTAGAGTAATCTGCTTTCTCTGCAAATTTCCAAACTTGCCTTGAATTTCCACTGAACCAATGCTTTCAATCCTATACAAAAATGACAAAATAGTAAGACCCTGCCCTTTTTTTGAGGGGGAAAAAGATTGATATATTGGAGTATGGAATATGGACCATGTTGATGATGCACGCGTAAATAAAAAACAATGAGCTAGAAAACGATCTGAACTTCATTGCATCTACTTGAACTCTACCTGGCATAAAGTGAATAAGAAACTCCTTCGTTTGCTGCACTGAGAGATACTGAAGAGAAAGAATCTGAAGCAAACTGAGCTGCTAGTAGCATTGCATCATCATCTTGATTCTACAGATTGCCATAAAATAAAATCTATCATCAGGAAAAACTAATTCTGAAACTTATATTTAAGCTAGGAAGCAATTGTTTCCAGAAGCAGAGACCTAGTTCAGAACTTAAAATTTCTACATACCATATAAAAAAATCTAACAAACCACACTATTTATAAGTCATGAATAGTACAGTCAAACTCCATGCAAAGCATAAGACCCAAAATTTTTTTTTCATTCGGTGAATAAGGCCCAGACTAGTTTCCATATAAAATTCCATTCATCAGGAGTAAAGATAAGAAACATATAGAAAAAATATTTCACAATTACCTCATCCAATAGTATCACAAAATACTCTGTTGGCAAAAGGCGTGGATGACTAACACCCGCAGAGGCAGTTCGAAGATAGCAACCAGTGAGGAAAACCTCCCTCCCTTTCTTCAGAATTCCATTCTCCATACCCACCAAGTTATAGAATCTGCAAGAGTGTTATGTTTAGTCCCAAATGAACTAATAGATAAAGAGTATGCCCAGTTTTAAGCAGGGCGACAAAATTTAAATGCACGAAGCCACAAACAGTTGCAACGTTGAATTTTAAAAAAAGAAATTACTGCAAGAATGCTCAACCATGCATATCAAATTTTCAATTACCCCGCCCATTGCCATCAGTCACGTACTTCACCAGATATTTACAAGACCACGAGACTTGTTAGGAGCTTTTGAAATATTATATCATGATCATCAAAGGAAATGAAAAGCACTGATAAACTTAGGACACAAGCTTCTGTGGATGTAATTATAATCTCTAACTCTAATTTCCTTCTGGTCTCCTTGCTAGAGAACCAGCAAGCGGCACTATTCTGATTCCCTCGAATAAAGAAAGCTTCTACATATGAATTTAAAGTATCTAAACTTTGAAGAATTATGTTTATGAATTGTAACAGTTTATAATAGAAGTAAACCCAATTACTATGGAATGTGAACTAAACCAAAAGTAAGTTGTCAGTGTGAGGAGAGCAAACCAATCATCAATTATTGCTCAAATAATCGGAAAACGGGAATTAGTTATGACCATGATAGGCCCAATAACACCTATAATTACCTGCGGTGGAGATAGAGATCTACGAGATTGGAACTCCAATAGTCTCCTAACGTTAGCATGTGGATGTTTGTGCCTGAAGAAAGGTAGTTTTGCATTGATAAGTATCTTACCGCAAACAAAAAATGACAGGAAATATTTTGGTTGTCGCATATAATATGCAGCGAAAATTTTCATATCGAAACAGACATCATTCAATTTGTAAATAAAATTTTCAAAATATAGTCAAACAATCTGCATACAAAGGATGTAATTAAATGGGAAATCAAAGCAGATGAACGGCGGTACACAATAATTTTAGGACAGGCGTTTGATTGTCCTAAAAACCCAACTCATAATTACATAACTTTGTTGCCCTCTGTTACTTCTCCTAGATCGTAACTCATTCTCTCTAATGAAGATTAGCGCTAAAAGTAGCAACTCAGGTTTGAATCCAGTACAGCTTGCTTGATTCCGAGACAAGGGGCCACTAGAACAATGAGTGTTTGTCACTCGTTTGCTTGTTTAATTTGAATTTTATGTCAGATAATTATGTAATAAATATCTAGTTTTTTTTTTCCCCGCAAACTAGTTGCGTATCCCAATTAATGCTCCTTTTTCTAAAAAGATCACATTCGTGGACAGTCCAATAAGGATGGCCAGTGAAGGCGGCTCAAATAACCAAGAAAATGCTTCATTCCAAAGTACCTGGAAGAACAAATGCATCAACTATAACCGCTTCCAAAACACTGTTCAATGACAAGAAATTTTTCTCATATATTGAATCAATGGTGACGGTGTTTGGCAGTTTCGTTCTCCGGTGATTCGTCTTTAAGTGCTGGATAAATTCTAGCCTCTTCGTCGGAGCCCCGACTCTGCGTTGCTCACCCCAAGCCTACGGGATAAAACCAATGATCAGACGGTAGCCATATGGCAAAGAACGAGAACATCAAAACCAGCGCACTGGTGAATTGGTTTCAGAATACTATAATGTGTCCATTTCCTTCTCCTTACAAGGAAAAACCAATAGACGAAGATGTGGTACCAAAGAGAGTTCAGACAGCAGTATGGCAGGCGTGACACCGCTAGAATAAGAAATGCAAGTCTTGAGAATGCGAGATACGATCCAGCTCCAGCCAGGCTGATCAACAAGCGCACCATCACCATTTGGATCGGGATCTCCTTCGTCTTCCAGAAGCTGGGACCTCGCATAGTCGATAAATCTCAGGAAATAATCTTCCTCCTCCCTTTTCTCTTTGCCTTCTTCTTCCGGTTGAAGATCGATGTCCATGGCAGAATCTTTCTCCATGCCGTGGCGAGAGTCAGGAAAGCGCCGTAGTCTCCACTTCTCGCCTCACTGACCTGAAAATGGCGGCCTTTTGCCTCCAGAAGAGGGAAGCCGCTTTGGCGCGGTTTTCAAATAATTAAAAAAAAAAAATCTCTTGCTGGCAATGCGCGTTTAGTAGGCTGGGCTAAGATAGGGCACAAACAGCGTAGCCCAGATTACCACGGTGACATGTATGTTGATGAGCCTAGCCCAGATTACTACATTGAGGCATTGAGCCTGTAAATTGAAAGAGTAAAATGTTTTTAGTTTTTTACTGCCGAGACATCAGAACTAGGGCTTGGTTTGGTCAACATTCTGACCTTTTTTTTTTTTTTTTGCCAACAACATTCTAATACAGTCGGACTTGCATTCGATTATAATGAATTCGAACGAACCGATTTATCAGATGTATGTAATATTGCCTTGTCTTCTCTATCATCGGTGAGATTGCGGCTAATTGTGTGTGCGCGTGCGCGGAAGGTGACAAGAAAAACAGAACAAACAGAGTGCAGGGACGATGAAACTCCACTAATCTCTTTGTATGCAATTGAAGTGGTTGAAGGAGCATCTTCCATGAGAGTTGCAAGGTACTGTGGCAAGAGACAAATCCAAATTTTGATAGATAAGGACGATTGGAAGTACACATGATTTCTTGGATCTAGAATTGGCTAAGAAGCGAGGTTGGCAATTTGATTGCTCAAAAGTATAGTGGGAAGAAGTGGCTGGAGGGAAAAAAGTTACAAGTTCGTGACATGTGAAAAATTTTAAGTAGGGAATGCAAGGGTTGGAGTTCAATTTTGATTTCAAAATTCTTAATCCCAAAACTTATGGCATGGTTTTAGGGTCTAAACTAGTTAAAAAGCATTAAAAATGCCTTTTGAAATTATGAAACCCTCACAGTGTATTTTTGACAAGGAGACCAAGGGTGCATTTGGGAAAACTGCTTTTCACATTTAAAAAATTGTTTTTTATTTGAGAAAGTTAAATAGTGTTTGGGTATTATTTATGGTGTAAAACTAACTTTTTGAATGTGCTTTTCGGACTTGGCTGAACGGCAAAATTTGAAAGCTAATATCTGTAACTTTTAAAAAGTCAGTTGAGAAAGATGCGAATCTATTATTTAAAATGATCATGATACCCCTGGCTTCATGTTTGTCTTTTCCTCCTGCCCAAACTGGTCCGCATTTCGTTCTTCAGAACACACCTTTCGTTCTCTCTTCTCTGTGCTCTGCTCTCATCTGGTGTTCTGTCACTCATCTCTTTTGAAAAGTCAAAAATTTGATTTAAAATAAAATGAATAAATTACAAAATTGGCCCTTTAATTTCTTAAAAACACAAAAAGCTAAATTAATCTAATTGAATAAACTAACGTCTTAAAAATGAGAATAAAAATTATCCAAGTAATAAAATGTGTCAAGATATTAAATTTTCAAATTAAAAATATTTAATTTCAATAAAATGCATCCAATTATAAACTATCATAAATCAATATCCTTTTGATTATTGTATGTTCAAAAGTACATTTTAAAAGTATAAATTTTTATTAATCCAAATAACTTTTAGTTTGTCAAACTGACTTTTAAAAAGATATATGCAAACACAAATTTTGTTACAACAATTGAGTTTTATCAAATTGACTTTTGTCAAATAAACTTTCATCAAATTGACTTTTGACAAACTAAAAACCAAACACACACCAATCATGCAAACTATAAGCCACACCACCTAGCTCATAGATAATGGTGCAGCCCAAGAGAATTGAGATAAAAGGGAAAGGGATGAACAAGATTTTATTACAATTGTTGAAATCTAGAAAAGAAGAGGCCAATTGTTTTGCTATTTTAAGGTATTGGAGAAAGTCACCACATAAATTCAACAAGTTCTAGGGCTTTTTCTAATATTTTTGAAGAGCTAAAGGGGTTGCCCCCTACGAAAATGCTATAACCATGCCATAGTTCTTTAAAAGGAAATAACTCTATTAGTTTAAAGCCTTGTTGCTATCCTTCTACTCACAAGGATGTGATTGAGAAGCTTGTAGGAGAACTTTTGCAATTTGAAATTATTCAAGAGAGTTCTTCTCCTTTTTTAGTCCAATTGTGCTAGTAAAGAAAAATATGGAGAATGTATATTGATTACCAAGGAGCTAAACAAAAGAACAATAAAAAATCAATACCTTATCCCTCTTTTGGAGGACTTATTTAATGAATTAAGTACTACAAGGTGGTTTACAAAGTTATCATATATTTTTTATAATTTTTGTAATATCTTTTAAGCAATAACATACTTAGTAATATCCAAAGTGGATCCACACAAAATTCACTATAATTCAACACTTGTTTATCATTAAAAATAGCTAGAGGATGTGCACTTGTTCACAGCATAAACACACATTTACTAACTAATCAACACCTATAAGTGAATTTAGTTATGTCAATAATACCGTAAAAAGTAATTAGGACCATAAGGGACATATAAGATCCTCATAATCAAGCATAATATTTTGCATTTAAGGCTTTAGGGGACATACAAATTCCTCATAACATAACCTTCAAATTAAATCAAGAATTAAGAAGGACAGATAGAATCCTCTTGACCATGCAGATGTGTCAAATTGAAAATTATAGACTATATACCCTACAAAATAATATATGCCCTAAGTTAGCACAATATACATTACATAAATCAAAATAAGAGGCAATAAGAAAGTGGTGTCCATACACTAAAATTTACACCTCTAGTATTTCCTTGGCCGAACTCACTTCTATAAAAATATTAATCATAGAAAATGAGACTTAAAAGTCCTAGTAATCAAAATTAATATATAATGATCCATGCGGATGTAATTAATTATGCAATTGTTAAGTAGGCATACAAAAACATTGAACTAAACAAAATTTATAAATAAACTGAATAAATATTTAATTATATGATTACACCTTATATCCTCCTTTAGCCATAACTGAACGCTAAATCACCTGACCAAAGGTGAGTTGGACCAAGCTACATGTCACTCATTGGGTCTAATGAAAGTTTACCATGTGATAATAATTAACTAGATGAAAATTCCCAACAACATATATTAAAATACCCTGACAAGTCATACATAATATAAACAACCAAACAAAAATATAACCAAATAATAATATAATTATAATACACATATATAAATTTTTAACCCACTTGATAATAATTCCAAACATATATATACAAGTATTTATTTCTAAATAAATTATAATTTTTCAAATAACAAACAATACATAACCAATCACACACACACCCATTATAACACATTAATAGTGATTATCTTGTATCTTAAACAATAAGTTTTCCTTCACAACTCCTCTTTTATCACTCTTTTTACCAATACAATCTACATAATTATTATATAGCACTATATATTAATTTCAATGTGAAATTCAACTTGAAATTAATAAAAAATTTTAAGCCTAAGACCCATATTAATAATAATTTAAAGACAATACCTCATTTAATTTTGCAAAATCCCTTCCTAAATTCTCATGCCTTGATAAACTATATTTAAGCCTTAAATCACTTCTAATCTCACAAATTCATCAATTCATATTTAAAAATTCATTCAAAAATAAATTAAAAATTCAAAAATTATTCTCATACATCAAATCACCATTTCACAACCTTAAAAATATTTATTTACATTCAAATGAATATTTAATAATCAAAAATTCATCTTCACATTACAAATTCAACATAAACTCAATCATATAACTTTAAAGTTTAACTCAAAAATTCTCAAATCTGAATCCTAATCTTACATAAATATTCTACAGCATTATTACACATCTAACAATCTCAACATTCATTTTAAATCATCATTACTTTACATTAACTATCCAGTAGAAACACTCTAATCAGAAAATTTGCTCATTTCCTCAAAATAATGCGACGGTTAGACAGCTTTTGATGACTAGAAAATATTTATAGAAAAGATTTGAGAAATGGGAGTCATTTTATACATCTACATGAGCTAAAAATGCTCAAACTTACCTGAAAGTGGCGGACGAACGCGGACTGAAGAGAAGAGGAAAGAAGACGACGCGGAAGGAGTTTGAAACACAAATGGAGCTGTGTACATTTAATAATCCTGTGGGACCCACCACATATTTCCTCTCCATTCTCTCTCTTGTATAATATATTGAAAATATATATATACACATATATTTGCAAGCACGCAAATCTGGCGCTTCGCCTTCTCCTATTTTTTTTTTTTAATACTCTCTATCTATTCTCTCCACTTCTTCTTCTCTCTCTTTTTATTTTAATTATTATTATTATTATTATTATTATTATTATATCTTTAATTTATATTCTATGTTAAGCTAATAAACATATCTTATAAGACATCAAACTTAAATTTAATTCATAACTAAATGCCTAACTATATTATTAATCAAAATAACCTCCAATACAAATTCATTCTCTAATTTAAACCTCAAAGTAATATATTTTTTTATTTTTAATTTCTCAATGAGAACTAAATTCTACAATTTTTTTTTTCATTTAAAGATCAGGATGTTACATTAGTTGTTACAAAAAGCACTTGGCACCACTTCTCATGAGTTATTTCATAAAATTAAGGAGAGTTCGATGTAGATGCAAATTTAAAGGCCATAATTGTTGAACTACAGATAAGAGAAAATATTGGCAAATATGTATAGGATGGATGGCTTTTCAAAAGAAAAGGAAAGCTGGTGATTAGTGATGTTGAAGCTATTGTAACAAATCCTTGAATGGTTACATGCTAATCCACAAGGAGGCCACTTTGGGGTGCATGCTACTCATCAAAAAGTTAGAAGGTTGTTTTGGTGGAAGGGGATGCATAAAGATATACAAGACTTGGTAAGAGGTTGTGACATGTGCCTATTGTAAGTATGAGATAGCAGCTGCCCAAGTTTATTGTAACTAGTACCCATTCCTAAGAGGGTATAGGAGAGCATAGTAATTGATTTTATATAAGGATTGCCTAAATATAGATGGAGGTAAAGAACTAATATAGGTAAGTGTTATGCTCACTTTTTGGCTCTTTCTCATCCTTTCCAACAGCTACATTCAGTTAATATTTTATAGACCATGTTTACAAATTACATGGGACTCCTAATAAGATCATTAGTGATAGGGATCCGATTTTTATTAGTAATTTCTTGAAGATATTTTTGAAAGTGATTGAGGTTAAGCATAATCTCACTTCTTCCTACCATCCATAAAGTGATGGACAATATGAAGTATTGAATTATTGTTTGGAAACATGCATTGGATGTATGTGTTGGAAAACTCCTAAAGAATGGAACAAGTGGTTTCCCTTGATAAAATGCTGGTATAATACAACTTTTCACACTTCAACTAAGGTAGCACCTTATGAGTTACTTTGTGGGTAGAACCACCTATACATGCTCTGTATCTACCTAAAGAAGCTATGGTTGAAGCTATGGATAGGAGTTTTACAGCAAGAGAACACATAATAAATGTTTTAAAGCATTATCTCAACAAGATAGCCAGCCACATGAAGCAAAAAGCTATCTAAGAAAGTTTGATTATGAATTTGAGGTTGGTCAATG